AATTTTCAAAAAACTCAATGGTGGAAAGTTTTTTTCTAAAATCGACCTCTCGGACGCATACCTTCGGATAGAGGTGGAAGAAGAAAGTTCCAAATTGCTCTGCATAAACACACATAGAGAATTGTACAAATACAATAGACTGGCTTTTGGAGTAAAGGTTGCGCCTGCAATTTTCCAGCAGGTCATGGACGCCATGCTGGGCGACCTTGACTACGCAACAGCCTATTTGGATGATATACTAGTGACTAGTAAAACTACGGCAGAGCACCGGAACCATATAATAAACATATTCGAAAAGATACAAGAATACGGATTTAAAGTTAAGGAGGCAAAGTGTGACTTTTTCTTACCAGAGATTAAATACTTAGGTCACATTATAAATAAAGATGGTCGTCGGCCGGATCCAGAAAGAGCCAACGTGATCAGAAACATGCCGGCCCCAGATAACGTTCAAGCGTTACAAAGCTTCCTCGGCCTAGCTAATTTTACCAAGGGTTCATTAAGAACATGCAAAATTTGAGAGGGTCTCTCAACCAACTTTTAAAAAGGACAAACCATGGTCATGGACCCCGGAATGCCAAGACGCATTCGAGAAGATCAAGAAAACTCTTACTTCAGACCTCTCCCTCACACATTTCGACCCTAGTCTCGACATCATAGTCGCAAGTGATGCGAGCTCGTACGGCATAGGCGCTTGCATATTACATAAACTGCCAGATGGGTCGCGAAAAGCTGTGGCTCACGCATCAAGATCTCTACTTCCAGCTGAGAAACAATATTCCCAAATAGAGAAAGAGGCTCTAGGGTTAATATTCGCTGTAACAAAGTTTCACAGATATCTACATGGTAGACGGTTCATACTGCAGACGGACCATAAACCTCTAATCACAATTTTTGGGTCTAAAAAAGATCTGCCAGTCTATACTGCAAATAGACTACTTCGTTGGGGAACGATTCTCTTAAACTATAATTTCAAGATAGAGTTCCTAACATCCAAAAATATTTGCCATGCAGACAGTTTATCGGGACTCATTCCAAAAAAGACTCCATCATTGCTACTCTAAGGACAAACTGTGAAATCAAAAACATGATTGCGAGTACCATAAGAAAGCTCCCAGTTACTTTGGCCGACATTAAAAGGGAGTCTCGAGAGGATGAATTCATTCAATCAATAAAAAGCAAAATGCGCAAGGTGCCGGAAGTTTTCTCCCTCTGCGATGATGTCCTACTATATAATGAGCGCGTAGTGATTCCAAACAGCCTACAAAGAAAAATCCTCAGGGATTTTCACATGGGACATCCAGGGAAGAACCGTACGAAAAGCCTCATGCGCTGCTACGTTTATTGGCCAAACATGGACAAGGACATAGCAGACATGATAGAAGCATGCAAAGGATGCGTGCTTGCAGCAAAAGCTCCAAACACGACGTGCAAACCATGGCCCAAAACAGATCATCCTTGGCAAAGAATCCATGTGGATTTTGCAGGGCCTATGGACAACATGTACTATCTCATTGTTGTGGATAGCCACTCAAAATGGCCTGAGGTCCTACAATGTAAAAGACCAACAACAAACTGCACGATCGGATTTTTGCACGAGCTATTCGCGCGTTTTGGCGTCATAGATTGTATAGTTTACTGATAATGGCACTCAATTCACATCTAGTGAATTTAGAGACTTCTGCAAGTCATATGAGGTGGACCACGTTACAACGCCTCAGTGCCACCCTAGGTCAAATGGCCAGGCCGAAAGGTTCGTGGACACTTTAAAAGAGCTTTAAGGAAAGCACTAGGCAACCCGACAGATAAAGCATTGCAACAATTTCTGCAGGTGTATCCGAACACGCCTATGGGAAGCACGCCTATGGGAAAACTCGCCTGAAAAACAATGTTCGCAAGGAAATAAATTTTGTCTTCGACAAACTGGTTCCACGGCAAGCAAAATTTAAAAACCGTATCGCCTCATAGGAAATATTTCAATCCTGGCGATAGGGTCTTTTCAAGGCGTACAAGAACAATATGACATTCAGGGAAGTGGGCATCATAAACCAGGAATTGGCAAACTGGTATATATGGTCCAAGGACCAAAAACATTCACAAACGCCATTGGAACCAGCTCAGAAAATGCCGTTTTAAGGAATCGGAATCACTACAAAATAACTGTGAAGAGCCGATCGACGTAATTTTCGATCACTTCGATCTCGACATGCCCCAAGTCTCTCTTGAAGTGCGACGCTCAGGAAGGAAAAGGAAATTTACTCAACCGCTCGACGTAAATCCCAAGAGGAAAAATTATTAATAGTTTTATTTTTTCTCTCCTTTTCAAAAAGAAAACTTTGGAAGGGGGGTATTGTGAGACCGGAAACTACCTACACAATAGACTCTCCCAGGCCTATATTAAGTAGGCGACATAGCACTCCAGAGAGTGTTATAGTAAGCTCCGCTTACACTATCTCTGTAACCTGTTGTTAATATATCTTTCTTACATCTAATCCGTGTTCCGTGTTTTTCCTTCTGTGGTCCCAACTTTGGCCCCACATCAGGTTATAATTTATTAAATTGGACTCGTAGGTCTGATGAATTGGATCGTGATTACGATTCCAATGCAATAAATTATAAACCATGGAACAGTATTTCAGCCTTTTATATTATATATATATATATATATATATATATATATATGAACATTGAAGTCAACACTTAGAGGCGACAGGCTGTTTCATGCTGTGTTGACTTCAATGTTCACTTTTTATATTTACACTGCTCTGTCTCTAATATTGAGCACTTTATTCCATAAATATAGCACACATTTCTTCATATATATATATATATATATATATATATATAGTTGCATACAAAATATTTCGGCATTAAATACCCATAGTGGTTGATATGTCGCTAAACAAAACTAACCAACAACCAATCTATATCTCCATTGAACTCCTATATAAAATCCATTGCCGAAAAAACTGAATAAATGATCTGCTTGAGGAAGTACCTGTCACTTTCTGTTATGTTTTATCTTTACAAGCGAAATATTAGATCAAAAATGGAATATTGATGCCGTGATGAAGCTGCTCAGTCATCATTTTCCAACCCTAATAGACTTCAAGATCGTTTATGCTAATTTGTGAATAGAGGAACACAAATTGAATCCTCACTTTTCGCTTCTCGAACAAACATTTTGGTACAATTAAAATTCGTACAACTGCTTACCAACCTTAAAGTTAATGGCATGATAGAACGTTATCATCGTTCTCTGAAGGAATCCCTGAAAACAGCACTGAATTATATTTCTTGGCTTCAAAATATTCCATTAATATTTTAGGGCTAAGAGCAGCAGTAAAATCTGATTCAGAGAGTTCTGCAGTCGAACACTTTTACGTTTACCAGGAGAGTTAATAATTAAACCAATTTAACCACTCTTGAATCCTGCTTCATTTGTAGATATGCTGAAATTGAAGATGTCTCAAGTAACATCCCCATCTCCTAGACAATCAACCCGTGTAACGTGACAGAATCACTCAAAAACTACAACTTTGTGCTAGTAAAAGACAATGAAACTAATCATCCTTTACAATCACCTTACAGAGGTCCTTACAAGGTAGTAAAACGTACAAAGAAACATTTCACAATTGGGATTAAAATAGACAAGAGAATATTTCCATCAACCGACTAACCCTCACCGGCACATTTAGAAAATTTTGGTGATGATTCATTAGAAACCACCAAACAGACACAACCTAGGACTTCAAAGAGCGGTCGTCATATTAGATAGCCTCCTAAACTATTTTCTTACCTAACATAATAAAAATTTCTACAGCAGTTCTGTAATATAAAAATTTGCCAAACATTAAGCTATCGAGAAATCTGTTAACACATCATAAAAACATTCACCTCCGTGTTAAAATGCTTTTTATAGATATTTTTAAACTAAAAGTAAATAATATCTGTTTTAATTCAGTTTAATTAAAATTTAAATCAAATTTCATAATAACGCTTCCGAAAAGTATATTTTATTTTTGAAAGATTTTTTTTCATAAAGAGAATTGTTGTGTTGACAGATTTGTCAATATGGCCGATTTTCGCGATTTAAAAAATAATTCAAATCAATTTAAATTCGGTTTGAAATACAATAATACTGAGTAAACTGAGTTAAGTTACTTAACTCAGTTTAAGTATTTTGATTATAGTCAATATAACTTGGAATTAAAAATAGAATAAAAATCTTCAAGAAAGATTTTTCATTTTTAAAATGAATTTTAAACCTTTAAGTATCACTTTTTATTTTTCCTTTTATGAGGTGCCTACTTTATTTTGATATTGATGGGATTCTACATGTGCTGACTCGAACAGTAATTAATTAATTACAGTGTAACCCGGATATAAGAGAGATGTCGGGACCGGAGAAGAAGTCTCTTATATCCGGGTTTCTCTTATATCCGGGTTGGGTGTAATTTATATACATTAAACACAGGCTCTGATTTGGGACCAGAGAAAATCTCTCTTATATCCGGGTTACACTGTAATTATTAATAATATAACACAAGGACGAGATTCACGTGTCGGGTCACCGGTACCAGAGACCCAAACCAAGATAGTTCCTTCCTTACGGCATTATCCGTTGTCAGCTTGGGGGATACTTCACAATCTAGGGATTAACTTTGCTGAAAAGAATGGAATACGTTTACTTTTTTTTGTGTACTTTTGAATCTCGATGGGTTTTTTGACTGGGCCATGTGAGAATTATTTTCGACGCATGAAAAAGCTAGGATTTTTACCGATTTTTTCCGTAAGCTGTGTAAAAACACACACACACACACACACACACACATTCATTCTCAATTCTGAAATGAAAATAATAAATGATGACATTTACACTATACACACTTATTGTGCTTTCTTTTAAGGATTTTCTTTTTTTTTATCGTACGAAACTACGGCTGAACAACTTTGATGAGTCCAAGTAACCGGTGTTCAGTAAATCAAGTAGACTGACAATGTCTTTGCTATTACGATGTCGACACTGTCTTGTTTCTTCAATCGTACGAGCTGCTGTTGGAAGAAATAAGGCATGCAACCTTGAAAATATTATCGTCCGGGGTTTCGTTTCTGAACATGGTATATTTTAAAGCATATCATTTTCAGTTTATTTTTGTTTCTTGAGAAAAATATTAAAAGCACCCGAAAAAAAAGTTTATGATATTTATTATTTTTAATTATTATTTAATTTTTTTTAATTAAAATATAAACGAAATAAATTATTTATTTCTCTTTCTTTTTCGACTGCTTTTTATTTACGTTTATTTTCTTGCTCTCAAAATCCTGCATTCTTTTATTTTTCGATTGTCTTTCTTTAAAATGACCTTCGTGAAAACGTTATTCGAATTTTCGTTCGTAAAATTAAAAAATGAGTAGAAATTTTTTTACAAACTGATATTTACAAAATAACGAATACTTATTTTTTTATTACTCCCCAGTTGTTTAAATTTTTAGCTTAAGAGACCGGAAACAAATCGAATTATAATTTTTTTTTTTTATAATTACTTTTTTAAAAATAATAGTTTCAAAATACTTTATAAATTTTTTAAATTTATTCTTCTTGTTACTGTGCAAAGTACAGTGAAATTACAACAGACCCCAGCTGCACCAATATACACGCATTCGCGCACAAAAACGCTCTCAGCGTCGAAAATAAAAATTCCAAACATGCAACAACTCATTCTTCTACAGTTTAATAATCAACTTCTTCTTTATGAGCTTAGGTACAAATATTACCTAGTCTAAGAGACACAACTCTGTCTAAACTTTTCAGTTCACATGCATGTACATCAAATACTTAATTCAATTGTTTTGAAATCATTACATTCAGTTTTGTATTTTATACTATGTGCTATTTACGTCAAATATATATTATAAATAAGTTAAATATTGGTAACTTCTGTCGCTACAATGGTATTACTAGTCCAGAAGAGATAATCAGTAATGTACATGCACAGAAACTTAATTTTATCTACCCTCTCCACACAAAGGAATAGATGCTGTGGCATTTCTGAAAAAAATCTGCCACCAGTTTTATCTTTTGATGTTTAAAGCTCCATGCAAGCAATCTTTGTATTTCACTGCCGTAGTCCTCTTCACCACAAACTAAAGTGAGTCCAATACCAATAGTGCTGACTGCAAGCTTAATAATTGTGTTGGTGGGATGGGTTAGGAATGTAATTACAAATGTAGATGATGTACAGAAGAAGGATTAATAATAAGTAGCAAATAACATTTTAGTGAGTCTGTATATTTTTATGTGACAATCAGCAGCATGTGGAGGTTTTGTGATGCTAGGAGCCAACTTCTTGATTGTATGTCCTTAAAACTTGAGTAGGGGGGGGGTATAGGTCACCTAGTACAGAGAAATGTGAGAATGGAAGACATTTTAAATATATGAAAACAGATGAAACATGAAATAAACTCTTTATGTCAAATTTCAAAAACTAAATTTTTATTTCATTCCCAATATGGATGCCTGGATCCATCGCACCCACTGTCCCCGCATCTACCCGCTACTAGTGGCAATGCAGTCTTCTTTTTCAGTGTTTTCACTTAAATTTTTACCTAGCCTTATTCTGAACCCTCCTGTGGAATGGCAAAGTCACAGAAAACTATAGAAATACTCTTGTGCCTTAGCCCTTTCAGAGGCTTATGGCCACATCACATTGAAACTGGTTCCTGCATAACCAATGAAATTAAGCAATACCGAGTCTGGTCAGTACCTTGATGGGTGACTGCCTGGGAATACAAGCTACTGTAAGCAAGGATGTGTGGGTGGTATAATAGATAATGACTCAGAATTGTTAATCAGAAAGCCAAGTACCAATTCCCATTGGGTTTGTTATATTTACTAATGTGCAAATACTTGTATCACTAAAACCATTATCATCTCTCAAAAAAAAAAATCTTACAATCTAAAAATATTTTCTGGGTTTAAATAATCTGCACAGGGTTGATAAGCTGTAAAAAAAAAATTAATTAATCTTACTCATTTCTGGCACTGGGGCTATGAATCAATTCTTACACCATCTAAATCACTATAAATTTTAAATGATTATTATTGTTTTAAAAAAATCAACTGTTATTTATGTTTTTAAAAATATCAAATGTTCTTAAATAAATCTCTTTTTCTTTACAGTTCACACGAAAACAAATGTGGATTATAATTATGCTTCTCAGAAAAATGAAAATTATGACGTTTTGTATGAAGGCCATATTAAACTGACTCCTTTTCAGAGAATTCTTCTCACCGCTGGATCAGCAGCAATGTGTTTGTACAATCCTGTCAGAGATGGTAAGTGTTTTCATTCATATTCCTATCAACTGATCGATCAACCCCACTATGCTATTTCACCTATACATGACCCATTAAAATGGTTTCAGATTTGATTCTAATTTCCTCATATCCAAGCTTCATAAAGATTGGTGGGGGTGAGGTCCAAATCAGTTGCAGGTCCACTAGTGGTTAACAAGACCTGTAAAAAACATGCATGCTATAACAATACCTTGGTGCCAAATAGCAGTCATCCTGTGTTAGATCACAAAAGTAGCAAGACTTTGGCTTGCAGATTTTATATCTATACGAGTCATGGGTAAATAGTGGGCCGCAGGCCACATGCAACCCATTTGTTCTTCTGAATGGCACACCTAATTTAATGAGGAAAATAATGTTTGTTAAAATTTTGTGTATTGTTTCATTCTCACACAAAGAGGTTGAAAGAAGCTGGTTTCAAAGAGAAATAATTATTAAATACATGAGTAACTTCCCTTACTTATTAATGCAAAGGTGTATTGTTGGTACAGTTCGATTAAATCGCACACATAACAATGATTAGGTACAATGTTTCTTGAATTTTGTAATCTTTCATTGAAGGTAATGTCCTTGGTATTTTCCATGCTTTTTTTTAACAGAAGTAAAGGTTTATTCCTTGTTTCCTGTTTAAGATTCAGTTTCTGGTTCCTTTATGGTACCTGATAGTCTGGTCAGTCAAGTTGATATTTAGTTTACATTTTTGACTTAAAATGTAAGAGATTTTATTTCAGCAGATATTTTTCCCTCCTTCCAGATATGATCAGTACATTTGGAGAAACAACAGGACATGCTGCTCTGAAAAAGGTGCGAGAAAGAATGTTGCAAGATCCTGAGGGACAACTAATTCTCAAGTATGTAAATACAAGATTTGGCAAGGTTTAACTTATCATGCCAGCAAAATACAGTGCTTAAAGGACAGTTATTTCTTTGATACTGCTATTACTGTATACACTTTTGACTCCCTCAGCAATGTTTAAGTGATGATTACAATTTTATTAAAACCCAAACATATGGAAGTAGATTTATACATTTTCTTTATTCTTGAGAATTGACAACAAATATATTAAACACTATATTAAATACTATATACTTATTTTATTTTAAAATTTGTTTCAACTGGCACACATTTACATTTTTTGTGGATTTTGACTACCATGTATAATGAGAACAAAAAAAATATCAAAGCTCTATAGTACATATAAAAAAAATTAATAAAAAAAAAATTATCATTTTGAGGATTTAATGTACTTTAAAGCTCAACTGAATTATGTTGACTATTCATTATGTCACTTTTTTTCATGATACAATCTGTTATATTAAAAAATGTAAACAAAAACCAAAAATGACTGGGTTTTTTTCAGCAACCTATTTGATCATCATTTAACCACAAATAACAAATTCTGTTGATTTTTATGACCATGATATTTATGTAAATGTTATTCAGCATTAAAAGAGCTTTCTAAAGATATACAACTTAACCATATTGTGAGAGATCAAAATTTTGACATATAGTGGCAGATGCCCAAATCTGCCATTTTGAATTGGGGTCATTTCAGTAAAACACTTATAGCGAAAGTTCTACTCAGTTTCCCACCATGAATCTTTTTTGTACATATCATGACAGAAGACAGACAAATTATTTGGCAAATTTAAAAAAAAAATAAAATAACTTTTTTTTTTTTTTAGAAAATGAAGGTCAAAGGTCAAGGTCAACTTGCCTTATTTGACCTCTAAGATAAAAATTACATATGGTACATTTTAGATCCATCCAAGTATTTTAAAATGGTATATAAATAAGTTTTGTGGGTACAAAAACACCAGAGATATTAAATTTTAAACTTTGTTACTATCATTGAAATATATATTTTTGACAAAGGAACCATTCAACTTTGAGAGGTTAGACTGGTGCCATTCAATTCATATCATGAAGATCTATAAGTGTAGCAAATTTGAAAAAATCTGTAAACTAATCATACTCAAGAAAATACATCTTAAAACACACCAATAAAATCATAGAATACAAATCAGAAACTAGGTCAATACAATTCGGTTGAGAACATGATATTGATATTAACTGACCAATCAGAAGTGAGAAAAATATCAAGGCTCTGTGATTCACTTTTTGCACAGATTTGGTCAATCACAGTGCTGTTACATAGGAAATGTATTAGGGATCTTTTTTAACCAAAGGAATTAGATCACAAATAAAATATTTTTAAATTGAAGGTAGCAGTTCAGGTTTATATTATTTAGAGAGTTCAATCACCAATTTGTATTCTATGATTTTATTGGTGTGTTTTAAGATGTAAGTATTTTCTTGAGAGTGATTAGTTTGTAAATATTGTATTTGATATCTTAGTGGACACGATGACTGTTTGTATTTATAGTACCACAAGGTCGATGCTCATAATTTAAAAGTTAACAACTATGCAAATTGTCTAGACAAATTGCATGAATTATTAAAAGATTATGAAAATGATTTTGGAAACCAGCTTGGAGGCTGTTAAACCCTATGAAGAGTCAAGGAAGATCATTAAGATAATTTAAAGCATGTTTTTCCCTTTTTTTTACAAGTGAACCAATGGAAGAATACAAAAGCCTCAATTGACTGGTTCTGTGTTTTTTGAAAGTAACAAAAATGAGTTTGAATAAAGTATTAACTTTTGTGAAAATCTTAAGAAATGCAACAAAAACTGATCAAGATTGAACAATGATCTGACTTTTAACATTTTTTTTTCTCTCTCCCTCTTTCTCAGGGAGAAGCCGATTGTTAGTTCAGAAACAATCAATCTCAAATACCTAGACAGTCTTCCTGATGGCACACTCGGTAAAGAATACTGGCGATTCCTCAGCTACAATGTAAGCTAGTTAACTTATTTTTTTCTCCCTTCTATCAATTAAACAAATTAGATTTTAAATTATTTTCCTTATCAATTTTAAATTTGATTATTTAAAGTTTTTATAAGTTTATTTCTTTGCTCAAAATAAGTAAGAATAAAAATTGAAAGTTTCTTAAATTTTGTAATTTTTTGAAAAAATTATATAAATGCATATAGATGTGTATTATATTTCTTTACTAGTAAAGCTACTTGGCACAGTCCAGATTTTATTTAAAAAAGGAAATTTTGGAATGAAAATCTAGGCATATTTTTTTTTGCTGGTTTTAAATAAATGCAATGAAGCCCTATAAAACTGTGAAAGTCTGCAGAAATATCTGAGAAAATTTTTATGGAATAAAACTAGGTGAAATTTATCAATGCAGTTCCATTTCAGTTCTGTTTAAAAAGTGTTCTATCTTTTAAGATAAACTTTCAGTTAATGAAATTTAAATGATCAAATGAAATTTGCAAGTTGCACCATTTCAATCATTTCAATAAATTTTCATTAAAAATATCATATTTTCAGCATTTTGAAAATACAAATAGAAAAATATGAACTTCAACAGTTGTAGGTTTTTTAAGTTACTTTCTGCATAATTTTGGAAATGAAATATTGTTCAGAACAATCTTAAATTATAATATTTTTACTTTTTTTGTCAGAAGACATTGTCAGCCATTATTATTAATTTTTGACCAGCATTTGCTTTCATATTTTAATAGATGAAGCATTGTTAAGTATTATTATTAATTATTGATTAGTATTTAGTTTTATCTTCCTATTTTACTAGATGAAGCATTGTTAACCATTATTATTATTAACTTTCATTTTTTTACCTTCAACAACATGAATTTTTGACTAGTATTTTCATCTTCATTTATGCCTTTGCTACTTTTTATCACTACTTAGGATATTAATTTGCAGAACTGCAGATCAGAAACTAAAAGTGAAAGTAAATATGAGAAAAAAATGATTAATAATGGTTGACAATGCTTCATTTAATAACAAAGAAAAAATAAAAAAATTAAAAAAATATGATGATGAAAAAGAGGTCATGAAATAAACTGATGATTGATAGCAGAATAGATTTTTCTTCTTCAAAGCTGTCAAAATTCTTGAATCTCAGCAGTGTTTACCTGGCTTGCCTGAAGTAAAGGTGACATGAGATCAAATCATATCTGAGGATGTATCTTTTGTTTCTACATGTTGCTATAGAAATTGTAACGTGTCCAAGTGTATATGTGAGAAGACATAACTGGCAACAAATACGACTCATTTTTATTTCTGGTCTCCATACACTTATGATGTATTACCTGAGAAGTACTGATAATAGCCCATCAGGAATTGATGGTCTGAAGAAACTTACATTAAAAGGCAACTAAAAAAAAAATGAAAATGAAAGTAAATACTAATCAAAAATATATAATACAGGTGCATCACAGATTTTCTGACAAGTAAGAGTCCAGCAATTCTTTTCATTCCAACAATATTTATAAGTATTTGAATTTTATATGATTGCCAGACATTGTATTGTCTTTAATAATATAAGTTAATAATATAATTTAATAAGTTACTAATATATATATATTTGGTTGGATATATATATATATATATATATATATATATATATAAGTTACTTTAATATAAGTTACTAATAGTGATGCTGTAGGGATACTAGAGTTTTTTTTAAATCATTTCACCCCAAGAAAGATGATAAAGCCACTAAGATGCAAGGGGTTACTGAGAGTGAAACAAAATTAAAAAACATTAGGAGAAAGGACAAAAAAAGAACTGGATTCAAAAAGACAAGATGATGATTGATATTGCATTTAAATTTTTGAAGATCATAGTTGACATGAAGGCAACAGGCCAGAAGAGACTTTGACAGGCAAGAAAAGCAAGTTTCAGTAACTGATGTTTTTAGTCACATTTTTATCATTTTGCAGCAAGGAAGGTGATAAAGCCACCAAGACACAAGGGCTTACTGAGTGAAAGACTGAAAAAAAGAAACATTATTAATGAGAGAGGACAATAAAAAAAATGGGATTCAAGGAGACAGAAGACAATGACATTGCATTTAATTTATTGAAGAACAATGTTGACTGGAAAGCAAGAAGCAACATGAGTTCCATAAATGAGACATATGAGAGAAGAAACTGTTAACATAGAACTTATAACTACGTTTAGCCATTTCACTTGTAAAATGATGAAACCTAGCTGACAATGTAGTTCTGCACTTAAATTCATAAAGTCAAGGTATCAAAATGGAAAGCTCATCAGCACAACATGAAAGTATTTATAGAAAAAGGCACAGAGAAGTTACATTATGATGGTGGGAAGGGAGTGAAGATGAGATACCAGCTCAGGACCAATAATATTGCAGATTCTTCTTTGTATTTTTGTCAAGAATCTCTAAAAACATAGCAAAAGAACTAGATAGGTGTGACAGCAATATTCAATACATGGACAAAGAGTAGGCTTATGTGTAAGAAAGATTCTGGTGAGAAAAATTATCTAATGAACGAACTAGCAGTAGACCTAGCAATTAATTCAATATAATCACTCCACTTCATATCAGTGGGAAACATTAGTCAGAGAAGTCGCAATGAGTCACTCTACTGGAGGTTAGCATCAGCCAAGCTGATAGAAGACATAAAAGGTTTTCTAAGACAAAGGAGAGCAGTTTTGTCTTTAATATAAGTTTTTGATAGTCAATTATGCTGGAGAGATATGAGAGTTTTTTTTAATCATTTCAAATTAGCTGCTTAAATTCATAAAGTTGAAGTATCAATAAGGGAAGTTCATCAGAAGAATTGCCTTGAAAATATTTATCAAAAAGGCACAGGAAGCCACATTATGGCAGTAGGAAAGTGGTTATATAAATAGTGTGTTAGAGGTATATTATTGAATTACTATAACATGACTTCTGTTGGTCTGGCATAATGGATAATCTGGCACAGTTCTGGAACCACAAGTGCCAGAAAATTGAATGTGTATCTATTATTTTACTTTCTAAGAATTGTCTTCCCTGGCATGTTTTCATTTTCTTCCTAACACCCACAAATACATTTACTTAATATGAAACCTTTTCCTTTTATTTCATATGAACATTCCAGGGTTTTGATCCAGATGGTAGGCGCCCTGTCCATTTTGTTGATGACCCTGACCTTGTGTACATAATGCTGCGATATCGACAAATTCATGACCTACTTCATTCACTAATGGGCATGCCTCCTCACATGTTGGGGGAAGTGGTAATCAAATGGGTTGAAGCTCTTCAGACAGGATTACCAATGTGTTACACAGCAGCCATCTTTGGGCCATTTCGCTTTGGACCCAAGTAAGTAGCAATTAACTGAAAAAATCTCACAAAAGGAAAAAGACCCCCCGCCCCCCAAAAAAATTGTACATCTAAGGGTTTATGTTCCCACAATGTTTTCTTGGATACTAAATAGATTATTTGTCTTTTTTCAAACCTAAACTAAAATGTTAAAAAATGTGCCATTACAAAAGTAACATTTTGTCATAAAGTTATTGGCTCAACTATTTATATATTCTGGTTAATGGTGCATTATGAATAGCAAGGTCTGTTATATTATCCCAACTGTTATTTGGTGATTGATAATGGTTATGTAACAGACTGTCACCACTTAGTGTTGACCTCAATGTCCACTTTTATATTTGCATATCTCTGATATTGTGCAGTTTTACCCATAAATATAACATAAAACTCTATTTTCATTTTATATATATATATATATATATATATATAAAGAAATATAGTCTTAAGGTGTGCTATATATTATTGAATAAAGTGCTCAATATCAGAGATAGAGCGTGTGTAAATATAAAAGTGAACATAGAAGTCAACACTTAGAGGCGACAGTCTGTTTCATGCTATATGCAATCGTCAGGCCACGTGTGCTGTTATTTTTCTCGGCTATTTATACATATACGGGTCAGTGGTGCATTGTGGGTAGTCTATTATGGCGGTTATTTTATCGGGAGTCGTTTGTTTATTTATTTGGGTTAAATTATTTTGCTTGTTTTTATTTAATTTTATTTTTTGTTTCTTATTTTATTTATTTATTTACTTACTTATTTTTTAATCGGTGTTTTTTTTAAAATGTAGTAAAAATTTGTTCATATCACTTATTTAATAGTTTTGTTTTGGTTTGAGAATTTAATTAAAGCTATTTGTTCGGTTTGGGGATTGGTTGTTGTAGTTTATTCTAACTATTATTTTGGCAGGAACAGTTTTTAACTTGTGTTTATTTGGGTTGATTATCTTTATTTGTTTTTTCAAATAACTGCCATAACAGACTACCCACAATGCACCACTGACCCGTATATGTATAAATAGCCAAGAAAAATAACAGCACACGTGGCCTGACGATTGCATATAGCATGAAACAGACTGTCGCCTCTAAGTGTTGACTTCTATGTTCACTTTTATATTTTTATATATATATATATATATATATATATATATATATATATAATTGTGTATTTGGAGGCAATCCTCTTTATACAAGTTTCATTAAAGACGACTGATAAGGTACTGCGATTAAGCTTTTTATTAAAAGATAAATAGCTTGTCAGTCATTTTTTATGAATTGTGTGTGTGTGTGTGCGTGTGTGTATATATATATATATATGTGTATGTATATATATATGTGTGTGTGTGTATATATATATATATATGTGTGTATGTATATATATGTGTGTGTGTGTATATATATATATATATATATATATATATATATATATATAATATTGTTACCCACATGCAGGCCTGTTTCACTGTATCACAGCTCATCAGTGTGGCTTGATGTCTGATTCCTTCAAGTCTGGATCAAAACTCTACCAATTTGGCATCAGTCAGAGATCCTACCCCTAAGCTATCAGCACACAGCAGAGAGTAAGGGAAATTCTAACATATTGTATAAAAATGTAAATAAACGCCAGTAGCCAACAGTGCTCAATTCATTAAGGAAGAGCAGTGTGTTAGTAGTGGTGATGGCTACGGTTTGGGAATTACCTTCCACCCAACAGTGCTCGATTGAATAGACAAGAGCTTTTATAATATGGTCATCCACACACACTATATATATATATATATATATATGTATGTATGTGTGTAGATATATATATATATATATATATATATATATATATAAAGCTATATTTAGGCAGCAAGTATTCATCCAAACAAGTATCATTAAAAAGAACCAACAAGGTTTGTATTTACTTTTTTTATTTGATCACAATAATCAACCCCTTATTCGAAAATTGGAAAAATACAATAAAAGGATTAAACAGAGACCTTGTCTGTTCTTTTTAATCAAACTTGGAAATATATACACATACACACTTGCATACACATATGAGGTTTTGCAACAGCAAACACATGATTATCATGTTTTAATTAGATATACAGTGGGGAGAAACAAATATTCGTACGCATACAAATTTTCAATTTATTGTATTTCCAACTAATGAATAAACATATTTTTCATATAATTAACTTTACACAGATACATAATAACTAAATATGCATAGAAAACAGAAGAAAAATTGATTTAATAGAAATAAATCCCATTTATCCATTTTTTTAATTACTTTTTACTATTCATCTTTCTCTCCTTACATATTTGTGACACTTTGGCTGATTGTTGAAACGATTCTCTTAAAAGTAACAAGGACAACATTCATTATACCAATGAAGTAAAATTAATTCCAGATTTTCTTTGTAAAAAAAAAAAAATTTTTTATTAAACTCCTAATAAAGCATTTTTTTTTAAAAAAATGTTATCTATTTCAGGCACTCAAAACTTTACTGGAACACATATATGCCTTGGGCTATACGTTGTGGAAAACAAGCTAAATTCTTGATGTCTGTGTACTTCGAAAAACATTGGGAAAGAAATGTCTCTGATTTACGCAAAGAACTGAACATTGAGGAACCTCCAAAATCTCTCTTCATGAAAGACAAAAGAAAAGAGAAAGACGATTCTATCACAGAGTGACCCAAAATCTGAACTCACTTCACAGCTATAAATGCTTCTTTTTTATTATTTTTTATAATGTCACTTGCTGAGATTAAATTATATTTTAAGATTTGACACAAGTCTAGTAAAAGCATTATTATTGTCATCTGTATATAATGTAATTAATGTCTTTTTCATAAATGGTTGACAAATGAAAGAAGCAGTCTCTGCTTAGTATGTGTATGATTCTCTTGAATTGCAATATTAACCTTTGAACTACAATAAAAGAAAAATAAACAGTAACTGTTGGAGAATATTGTTGATATTGTTCACAAAATACAGATTTCTGATGTGAGGGACAATGTTATCATTGATGTTTTAGAGTCAGGATTGTCAAAGGTTTTATATATTTCAGTATCAAACCCCCTTCCACAGGTGACTCAGTCAGAGCTGATCTGACTCTGATCCACTTAGTTTACAGCCCAATAGCATTGAAACATTGGTTCTCATATGATCAGCAAAGTTAAGCAGCATCAAGCCTGGTCAGTACCTAGATGGCCTTATTAGGATTTTGCAGAAGGATCTTGTGACAAAATCCCTGCAGCCCTTGAGTTTTCTGCTCATCCTGGCCCCCACAAAAATACATATTGCGCAGTGACTCACTCTTAAAGTTATAAAACTAGTTTATGTACCATTATAATATTATATTCACATACTCAAATATAGCATGCTTTAAATACACACCAAACCTACTTAAACTTTTAACCGATAAAAAGAAAAAAAACGACATAAGTGTAAAAAATTAGGACCATCTTTATTTCTGAAATGAAAATTGCAACATTCTACAAAGTAACTTTTATTTCTGTTTTGTTTGCAAATTCTTCAATGACATTGTCAAAAACTATTTTATCTGTCAACTGTCACTTTCTGGACTGTATGTAGGACAATATATATGCTATAGTTTAAGTTACTCGAAATCGTAAATATCCTTTAACTGAGTACTGTCCCAACATTAAAACTACTTTTATTTCAATACAGCCTATACTGGCCTACAGCAGACACAAAAGTGATCTCTCTAGCTATGCCACTGCAGCCATTTAAATAGGTAATCTGCTTGCTTTCTATTCTTAGTTTCTGCAAAATTCTACTAATTCCTGATATTTTAATCATTGCCTTTCATTAGCCTCTTTTCCATTTTCTCCCAACTTAGTCAATTGCCCTATGAATACTTGCTTTATCATGTGAAAGATTAAGACAACGTCTGGCCACATGTTGCTATTTGTTCTGTGAATTATAACTTCTATCTAAGATTAACCACCAGCTTCTAATCTGAAGCAGATGAAAGAAAACTGGAGGTTAATTTCTTTTTCTGTGATTAGATTGTTTTCCTCCAGCTTTAATGAACTTTACAAAATAAAAAAAAAAATGTTAATTTTTGTTTCAGAGACTATGGACATTTTTTTTTTTTTTGGTAATTTATAAAAAAGATTCATAAATAACAAGATGGTGTGGGAAGATATGTGATACTAAGGACACATATGTAGAAAAAGATGTGGTTTTATATCAAGTATTTCTATTTAATAGCCAACAAGTGGTCCTTTTTGAAGTCTAGTTTTCTAAGCAGCATCCACTTTGACTGAAGGGGGATGAAAAATAAAGAAGTAGATGAAAGGTCAAGTAGCAACAAAACCCAAAATAGGATATATCCAGGTGCTGGTCTACATTAAGTCATTCTTGGGATTGGAGTTAGTTTTAACTGCTTTCTGAGATTAACCCTCAATTGCTAATCTGCAGCAGATTAAAGAATACTGGAGGTTAACTTCTTTTTTTCTGCAATTAGATTTTTCCCCTAGCCTTAATGAACTTCATTGTTCTCTTAATTTTTTATTAAAGTTAATCCATTACAAGGCTCAAGAGCTACTATTAAAATGGTTATAATGGATGAGGTGAGAGTGGAGGTGGTAGAAAGTGAGTATAAGAAGGATAAATAAAGATTGACCTTTGACTTGAAAAGGTTATAGTTATAGTATTCAGGGAAATATTTAAGTGGGAGTCTGTTCCACAAAGTAGCAGTTCTTGGAAAAAAAGCTGTCTGAGTTGAAATTTGCATTTGAAATATGGAGGAAATGAGGATGATTCAAATCTGTGGAAGTTGATTTACACACAGATAACAGAACTCAATATTTCTGTGGTCACTTAATAACCTAGTCATGGTGTTGATGATAATATTCATCCAATAGAGCTTCTGTACAGCACATTGTAGACCAAACTGTTTTCATCCTTGTGTGAAGATTTATTGGATTTGGCAGGGTATCAGGAACAGCCGGGACTAAAACTTTCAGGCAGGTGTGCCATATATCTGACCATTTAATTTTCCATTTTATTATATTCTTCAATTTTGTCCATAATTCTTGCTGGCTTTGTCTAACCATTTTGATAATTCTTTTTTTTCTTCTGTGCCAGCTTCAAGTTTTTTCTGAATTAAGTGTTATTGCTTCTTTCCAGTTGTATCCTGGGGAAATATCCTAGTCCTTCTCAGTTGCTCCTATTAGCATCTTTTCATACAACTGCTCTTCTGCTGATTGCCTTTCTACAATGGCTTTCTATTTTCTACTGGAACAAGTGCCAGTTCCTGCTCCTTTTTGGTCTTTGGTGTTCTTATACTATGTTGCTGTTTTTGTTCTTGCCTCTGGTCAAATATCTGACTCAATCCAATCCTTCTTAACAAATATTTTGGACATTTCAATGCAGTGTAATGATTAGGAAGCTTGTCTTGCTAGATCAATTATGACTGAATAGTGAGATTAACTCTCACTGAGTGCCCCATGCTTTCAGCCTTGTGCCACATCTAAACTAAACTTAGAAAATCACCATTCTTAACAAATCATGTAATATTTGTCTATATTTCTGATATGAGATATTGTAATTATTTACACTATTTACATTGTTCGGACTGTTGTCCTCATCTTTGTTGCCATATTCACATTTTGTACAACAGCTGAAACATTGTGAATTTGGCAATAAAGATCAGAACAACAGTTTGAACAATGTAAACAGTATAAATCATGTAATGTAAGTCGTGTTGGACTGTCATCCTTTTAGATCATATCACATTAATATGTGAGTCCCACAATGCTCTATCTTTGTTGTTCATACGTCCTGGGTATGACGATAAACTACATCTGCATCCAGGGTAAGACAATAAATTACGTCCAACAGCAGGGCCTCTGATCAGGAGGTTTTGAAGATCATGGAATCACCTCTTAATTGCTGGTGTTCCCAGGTCCACCCTGACCTGCGGTGGTAGCACCTGTTAGGGTCCCAGCTATGGGCAATTAGTTAACCCCCAAACTGAGGTAAAAAGCATTATGAAAGTGTAAAAATAGGTTTTAATACGAGAAATACTTTGTAAAAAGATTATTACCAAAGATAAATTTTTGAAGGAAAAAAAATATTACCAGCAATATATTTTTGAAAAAAAAATAAAAATATTACCAGCAATACGTTTTTGAGGAAAAAAAATATTACCGGAAACAGATTTTTGATAAAATATTACCAGCAATAAAAATTTTGTCGGCATTAAATAACCCATTGATGTTGATATGCCATAAAACAAACCAAACCAACCTTGTTGTTTATCTTCGTCAATGACATTCCCAATGTCATCAGTTCCAAAATAGGTATTTATGCTGATGACACAACTATTTATTTCTGTCTTAATAATAAATCCAATAAATCTGACAAATTAAAACTGGAAGCTGCTCTTGAAAATGATCTCCAATCTGGAACAAAAATGGCTTATAAATTTTAACCCTTTCAAAATGAAACTTATCGTCCAATCATAATAGAGAACTTTTTTTTTCTTTTTCCTTTTATCAGTATAGCTACTGTTAACCTCCAGAAGAGTAACCTTCTTGGTCTTGCATTTTTCTACTGGCATAAGTGGGGGTGATTATATTGAATCAATTATATGTGAATCTTCTGCTAGGAAAGTTGGTCCACCAATCAATTTTTCTTGCCAGAATCCCTCTTTCACATTTATAAATCTACTGTTTGTGCATACATCAAATTTTGCTGCCATATTTGATCTATATATCTTGAAATTCTCAACAAATTCCAAAGGGTTTGTAATTTTATCAGTCCTAACCTGGAATCTTGACTTCAGTCGCTATCCCACTACCTTGACATGGCTTCCTCAGTCTTTTCTATAAATATTTTCATGGCAGTTATTATAAGTTCTCCTCTTTGGTACTTTGCCTGCATGAAATTTAAGCATACTATTAGATTTGCAATTAAGTAAATTCTATTCAAATAGTTTCTTTTTTTCTTTTTTTTTTTGCAATTCTCACTTCCGTAATTTGTGGCAGCTTGGAAATTATGAAGACAGTGAACAAAGGGAGCTAACTCTGCTTGCCATAAATGAAGAGTAATGGCCAAAGGGAAATTACTCGTACGTATATTATTTTACTGAATTAAAAATTTTTTTTTTTTTTTTTTTTTTTACACTAGAATTTTTTGCAATAGGCTGACGCGTGTTGAAATCCTCACATTATTTAGTATTGTTGATTAAATTGTTTTTAAAATAATGGGAGTATTTTGTATGTTAAATAATAAAACTTTTATTTTTTACCAAAAAATTAATGAAAATTTATTGTACTAAGCTATGCACACTAGTAAAAGAAACTGTACTTTGAACTCCCTTACCTGTTTGGACTTCTCCCCCAAATTTGGTTTTGATCGGTCAGTATATGGCTATTTTAGAGGGTGTGACGGATTAACAGAAGTCAGAGAATTTTATAAATAAATTTATATTCACTCAATACAAGGCCCAAGAGCCATTCAAGATAAAGTGTTATTGAATAATGTTGTATGAACATAAGTGCAGTTTATGGGGTTATGTAGGAAAGATAGCAGTTAATCCTAGACTTGAAGAGGTTAAGATTGTAGGGATCAGGAAAACATCCTATTGGGAATTTATTCCACCAAGTAAGTTCTTGAAAAGAGGCTATCCAAGTGGAACTTCTTCCTTACTAATGGAATACAAATGGAATGAAGGTGATTCATACCTGTGTACATAGCATGGCGGGTCTAAACTGCAAAACCAGGACTGTGGGAAACTAAGGAATGTAGATCATCAGATCATTTGCCATGGAAATAGTAGTGAAAGACTTGTGGTGTTTTGTCTGTGGGAAAGAGGGGTTGTAGGCTGGAAAGTAATTCATAGAGATCACACTCTAAAATCCCATAAGCAATCATTCATTGTGCAGTGGTTAACAAGAACCTCTCTGAAGATACAATCTTGAATTAAACTTGTTTATAGCTTAAGTAAATTGATGCCATTAAATATTTCTTTTAAAAAAATGCAGGAACATAGGTAATTAAGTCTCTCCACACTTTCTTTTTCTTGAGAAAGTTTGTCAAGTGGTTACCCGTTGCCTTCTCCACTGTCTGGAATTCAGAGTTGTACTCTGAAATTGGTCACAACCCTATTATTTAATCCACATCTGGGGGGATATGTTTCTAAAGAGTATTTGTACCAAGGTGATGCACAACAGACTAGACTGGAATTTGCATGTGATTGGATTCTATTTACTATGCTGATATCTGTTACAGTCTTTTGCTAAGTAATACAAAGTGATCCAAAAGGCACCTAGGTATTTAAAAATGTCATAACATGTCCTATTTTTCTGAAAGAACATGCCTGTATAACATAGAAAATGCAAGATATGGATGTATAATTTTTCAGGTTTCAATGGGAATACATTTCCAGTGTTTGCATTTACTTTTTGTATAAAACTTCTTTTTTTGGGGGGGATTATAAAAAAAATGTTGAAATTGTGAGTTTTAAATCCTGAGGCAACTTCTGGGACACCTTATATTATTTAAGAATTATAATTATTAATAAAAATATTCATAACATCTGTCACATTGGTTGATCTATATAATAAAAAAATAACAGGCTTAAGGAAATATTAAAAAAAAAAAAAAAGTAACTGAATTTTAAGAAATAAAATAATCAGCCTGAAAGCAGTCTGAAGATTTGAAACTGAAATGAACTCCTTAACACCACGTTAGTCCTATGGAGCTGTTTTGTTCCCCAAAATTTTTAAAGTACTTATAATTCATAGCTGGCAACTTGTTTCTTTTGCTACCTCCCACTACTCTCCTGATTCAGTGAGAGTGTGTAGCACACAATGTGGTGTAGTTGTAGCTCAGTTGTGGGAGGCAGATGCCAGGGGAAAATCCAAGATGACTAATGCAAAGTTAATGCCTTTTGTAAAATCCAGTATTGTAGGCTTCTATTTATAACCTGTTAATGTTGATCACTGCATTTTTGGGACAGTGGACATTAATGATTTTTACTGTAAAGTTGACTATTACATTCTTGTAAAACCCATTATTACAAGCTACTCTTCTTGAAAAGTGTTTCAATGTTTTTAGAAAATTGAGATGCTAGGTACTGGAAAAAAAAAAGTTCATTATGGACAAAAAGAAAATAAATATTACACCAAATCGAAGTGCACAACTTTGTGACATTGAAAGCATCATATATTAGTGTGTTCTTGGGTACCTTGGCATAGTGTAATGGTTAGCAGGCTCCTCTTGCTAGATCAGTTACGAATGAAAAGTGAGTTCGATCATCACTAGGTGCCTCATGCTTTTGGCCTTGTGTCACATCTAAGCTACACTTGGAAAATTACTAATTTTGGGGGTACCTCGGCGTGATGTAATGGTTAGCAAACTTGTCTCCCTAAAACAGTCATGACTGAATAGTGAGATCGATCCTCATTGGGTGCCCCATACTTTCGGCCTTGTGCCACATCTAAGCTATGCTTAGAAAATCAATACAATGGACACCTCGGCATGGTTAGCAGGCTTGTCTCACTAGATCAGTTATGACTGAAAAGTGAGTTCGATCCTCACTAGGTGCCCCCATGCTTTCAGCCTTGTGCCACATCTAAGCTACGCTTGGAAAATAACTATATCAGTGTTCTTAAACTGCAAAAGATTAGCCACTATTATGAACATCCATCTGTACATGTTATGACTACTGGGTTGTAGTGCTGTCCATGGCTGTATCGTCTAATGGATTGTGTTGTGATTCCTGGCAAGAAGAAAAAAAAATATCATTTACTTTCTTCCGTTCTTGCTGATCCGTGGTGTTCTAGTCTAGATACTAGATGAATAATGCTTTTGTAGGAATAGACGACTCAACGGGCAGAATTATCTTCAATGATATTCTTCAAAAAAAATAACAAAAATTGTCCATTGGAATTATATTATTTCAACATGGGCAGTAGGTATGGAAAGGTAAATAGTATTAGCTTTTCCCTATCTTTAATTCTGTCGTCCTCTACTAGGAAATTTGTGGGAGCAAAATTACTTTTCAGGTTTTCATCACACAAACTAACTGACACATCTAACAATTGGAACTTTAGCTGAACTGTCAGCACATTCTGCAATTCATGTTTATAGAGGATTCAGCTCATGTGTGATCAGAGGTGACAAAAGATGTCCAGGGTTAGATAAATTTGTTTCTTTCCAAAATTACGTATATAATCGGATTGAAAAATAGTATGATCTAGGTCAATGAAAACAAGCTAAAATTCCTGTTGGAAATTCAGTCTAGCCTCATGTGATATGATTTACTTACATTTTAATTCAGGTATCATACTTTCTGACCCCTTAAGATTCTCAGTTTCAAATTCTCAGTTCCAATTAAGAATTTTAAAATTTATTTTTCAAACTGATTTTCAAGGTTTGTTTCTTTCCAAAATTATATTCAATTAAATGTCACCATCTTTCTTTTCACTTTTATACATGCATTTTAACCCTAGGCCTCATGTCTTAATAAAATTGCTTTCTTAAGATGATTACAGTCACTATTAGAGGTGCATCCAGTTTGTCCTCAGAAGCAGACACCTATTTGAGAGACAAAACAGTGATTGCCACATTAAGAAGAAAGATTAAAGAGGCCCACTCCAGTTTGTCACCTGTGTGATCATGGGGAAATATGGCAACAAAGGAGAAAAGCAAGTCTTACCTGGAAAAAGAATTTGAGTTCTCTGTGCTATCTTCTCGATAAAGAAAATTAGAATCTGACTTTCTCACACATCAAGATAGATAGATAGATAGATAGATTCTTTTAAGTTAATTTAATGACCAGGATTTTTCAGGAACCCTGTCTCCAGTCCACCTTTGAATTGACAAACATAAAATTTTATTAGCGATTTTAGATAGTCATAAAAGTAGGGTCCTTTGATAAAACTGACCACTCAAAAACTATTTGGGTGGTCCCTCTTCCAGGTTGGTGGAACACAAGTGAACAAAAAGGGACGGTGGGTCTCCCAGCCAGTATCTATATAATGAGTGGTCAATGAAAGGACCAGTGGTCAGGCAGTGACTGTGTAGGAATCTGTTTGCTGTGGCCAGAACTTAGTGAGAAGTCAGATAAAAAAGAAGTTTGTTTTCTCAAAGCAGAAGACAGACATTGCTGATTAAGTAAAATAACCATATTTTGTTTTGCTAATTCCTGACCAAACAAGTGCCTTGAAAATATTTGTTGCTATTCTTTGTTGACATTAATCACAGCTCTGATATTGAAACAAACCTGTGGAACATAGCAAGCGCCAGTGTATTTGTATACAGCCAACCTTGGATATCATCAGAGCTTGTGCAGTGACATGCAGAAATGCATCATCACAACTTTAGTAAGCCTCAAAATATGGTAATTGTTTGCACTTCCTTACCAATCTTAACCTTTCTTATACCAATAAAAGAATGCTACTTTGGACCTCATGTTTACTTGGCTCTTTGTGGCTGAAGGAAGTTGTGTGTTGCAATGCAAACTTATCCTTTTGATTTACACTCTTGGAATTTTCTCATGAACTTGCAAGACTGATTCATAACCCTTGGAATTATGACCTCAAATTTGGAAATATTGGATCTGAACCTCTCTACCTCAGCTATTTTCTTTCTCATCCTGCTGGAGGCCGGAGAAAATGCTTTCAAGGACAAGATGAAAACAAATTGTAATATTATCGTCATGCTGATTAATAAGAAAACAAGGCTTAATCATTGATATTTGACATTGCATTTTATTCAACTTTTGACATTCTCAGCTTTTATCGGCCAGTGTGTGCATGTGGCCCTCCAGATCTCGTCTAAAATGTGGACCTTACATTCTCACCTGTGATATCTGAGTCTCTACCTTTGTACCATTGGGGTGGGTGTTTATATATCTAGATGCAGCTCTCTCACATGTGTAGACCAGGTGCAACTGGGCCAATCATGCGGGTCTGCACTTGGTGGCTAGGAAGTCATCTCTCACATCAACTCGCTATCTTCACCTATCTTCTCTGTAGGAGACTGAATGTAATTTGAGGTGAAACACATAATTTCCAAATAAAAAAAAAAAAGAGAACCAGTAAAGTTAATTTATCAAACTTATCAGATTGCTGCATTTTCAGAGGGAAAGAAATGAACAAAATAATGGTTTTAAGATTAATTGCTACTGACAAAAATGCAATCAAGACAGTCGAGGATGACATTGAAAATAATCAATGTTATATGGATACAGAAAGTAACCAACATACTCAAAATACCTAAATCATGCATTGAAAAACATTTGCACCAGGTTAGTTATGTTAGGCATTTTGATGTATGGCTTCCATATAGGTGAAATATCTTAAAAACCTTTAAAATAAGTTGTTATAGGTGATGAAAAGTAGGTACTTTACAACAATCTAGAATACAAGGTCATGGAGTAAACAAAATGAACCACCACATGAATGGCCTGTCTTCATTTAAAGAAGGTAGTATATATAATCGGAGTGGAAAGGAGTTCTCTTTTCTCTGGGGAAAGCCAAACAATAAATATTAGTACCAATTAGACTGCTTGAAAGCAACAATGAAAAGCATCCAGAACCAGTTAAGAGAAAGTGGATAATGTTTCATTAAGATAACACCTGATCACACATTTCTTTCGTAACCAGGCCAAAAATTTGAATCCGTCTGCCATATTTCCAGATATTACAACTTCAGATTACCATTTATTTATCTTTGCAGAGTTTTTGACATTAATAAAAATTTAGTTCCCTAGAAGATTACAAAAGGCACAAAGTTCTTTGTTGAGAAGTATCTGTCAAGTTCTAGGAGGATGGAATTATGAAGTTGCCTAAATAAGATAGTGGAAAAAAAACTGATAAATTTTTTTATTAAAATAAATATGGAAAATAAGAAATTTGTCTTTTATTTTTACTTAACTGACCAAAACATTTTGACTGCCTAATCGCTGGCATGGTGGAAAGGAATAAAAAAAATAAGTAAACAAGAAATCTATTCAGTAATCACTAACTAATCATTGTTTGACCTATTCATTCAACTTATTTCAACATCACAAAATTTTCCAATATAGCATTCATGTCCAAACATCCCAAACTCATTCATGTTCCAACATCACAAAATTCATTGATATTCCAACATCAGAAAAGCTTCCAAATATAGCCAAAAAAATTTATTTTCACTTGCGCTAAACAAAAGCAAGCAGAGATGAGAGCATAGTATCTGCACCAACTACATCAGAGTGACATCAATTTTTTGCACTGTCGGATAAAGCTGGTCAAGCTGCCTGAATTCATGGGCATACTTATTTCTCTCGGTGATGTAACCAAGGCTATTATAGATACGAGCCTGGTAATAGACAGTATCTTTCTGCAGTCGATGGGCTTCGGCTCTTTGGAAATGATCTTTAGCAATGCTTACTTGATTCAAAGCTGACATCAAAGCTGGAAAAAGAAATGAAACAGATAAGAAAAAAATAAACAATTCTGTAATTGTTATTGACAAGTTAATAAAGTGATTCTCAAAAGTACAAAAATATATTTTGTAAGTAGATGTTATTTCACAACTTATTTGTTTAAAGTTAGAAATGACTGTTCATACAGTATGAGACAAAGTGGGAAAGATTTTTTATAATGTATTTCACCATCATGTGTCAGGTTGGCATTTTCAGGTCAGAACGAAATTATTCACCACTAGAATAAAGACATACATTCCACTTTTGTGTTTTGCTATTATTTGCTTTTTCCCTTCAACTATGATTCTCACAACTTCCCTCTTAGGTTCACTGCTATCACTAAGTTTCTCTGGAGACATTAGGGTGAATATAATAATGAAATAATACATAGAAATATGACTAAATGCAAACTGATGATACACAGCATCAACTGAAGCCAACAAGTAGCTGTTGCTTTGCACATCTCGAAAGCATTCAACAGGATTTCACATACCAGTCTTCATTATAAGTTGAAAAGTTATGGTGCCTCTGGACGAATTTTTGAATTGATTCAGTCTTTCTTATCAAATGGTGAAATGAAAGTTATCCCGAATGGCCATTCTTCTACTCCTTTTTTTACCAATGCAGGTGTCCCCCAGGGCTCTATCTTTGTTTCTACTTTGTTTTTAATTTTCATTAATGACCTTCTTAATGGCATCAGTTCTTAACTTGGTATCTATGCTGATGACAACCATTTACTCCTGTTTTGATACTAAGTCTGATCAGTTCAATAAAGTCAAATTGGCAGCTGATGTCAAAAATGACCTACAGTCTATTGCTAACAGGAGCAAAGAATTTTAATGCCTCCAAAACAAAAATTATTAATCATTTGAGAGACCCCTTTCTGCCTTCTGTCAGAATAGCTGATACTAACCTCCAGAAAAGTAACTTATTGTGCCTTCTTGGCTGACAGGAAGTGGAAAAACTATATTGAATCCATTGGTAGGTCTGCTGCAAAGACAGTTGACCATGTCATGCTAGACAATTTTTCTCTCCAGAATTTATCTCAGATATCTATAAGTCTACCATTTGTCCATGCTTAGAAAATTGCTGCCACATATGAACTGGCGCTCCTGCTATATATTTAGATTTTCTTGATAAAATCCAAAGAATCAGCAATATTATTAGTTCTGACCTGACGTCTTGGCTTCAGTCACTTTGCCACTGTTGTAGTATTACTTCCTTGTGACTTTCTCTATAAATACTTTCATGGTAATTGTTTGGATGAGCTCTTTGGTATGGTACCTACATTTACGAATTTAAGTGCAGTACTGGACTGACAACATGGTTTCATAAATTTACAGTTGAATTGGTTAGATGTAACTGTTAGTTCTATGCTAACAGTTTCTTTTCTCACAATTCTTGCTCTCAGCGCCATGCTTTCCAGTTAACTTTGATCTTCAAAAATTTAAATGCAATGTCAATCGTTATCTACTGTCTTCCTCTTTACTCTTCTATTGTTCTCATTCCTTAGTAAAGTTTCTGCTTTCTAATTCTTTCACACCCAGAAACCCTCTGTGTCTTAGAGGCTTTAATACTTTGCTTGGAGTAAATTTGATTAAAAAACTGACATATTCATGTACTCAGAGCTTCCTTGGTTTGATTCATGTTCATTTGGCTGTTGCTTTAGTTTGAGAACTGAATTTCTGTTAAGAAACTGGTGTATTTTTCTCCAAAAGATTTTTCAGGATAAGGAGTGTTCATGAACCAAGGTTTCACTAATGGATATAGTCTACAAGAAAATTTCTGAATAAACAGAGTAGGATCCTTCATTTGGCACATTTCATGCCCAATGCATCACATAAAACATTTTGTGTCTGTCTATATTTCTGAGATGAGGTATTATGTACATTTACATTATTCGGACTATTGTCCTCATCTTAGTCGCCATATTTATCACAATGTTTCGGCCGTTGTATGCTCCGGCCTTCTTCAAGGACACATGGCACAGTGGATAAAGGCGTTGGTTAGATCCAGTGACAGGACCCAAAGAGTGTGAGTTCAATACCCGGTTAAGGCAGTGGAGAACTTTCAGAGGGAAACTAGCAGGAGATAACTGATAACTGACATCCATCAAAACATGGCATGTGGAACTAGAACAGTCTACCCCAGTGAGCGAAATAAAGGGTTCAGTTCGAAATTCCAACCACCTGAAGAAGGCCTGAGTGTACAACAGCTGAAATGTTGTGATAAATATGGCGACAAAGATGAGGACAATAGTCTAAATAATGTAAATAATAAAACATTTTGTTTATTGAATTTTAAGCCTCCATTAAATACAAAAAAAAAAATTGACTCATCACTGAATTTTAATAAAAAGAATAAAAAATAGAGAAAGAGAAATATTACCAGAGTTTATTTCTTTGGGCTTTCCACCTTTCCGTGCAGCAGCTACAGTGCATCGAGCATAGCAATAGAGCATTCGTCCTTTGTCTAGTTCAGTGCCATTTGTCAACATTGTGATCATCTGTTTTTCTAAAATTGGAATAGCTAGGTTGGGTGATCCCATCAGGAGCTGGGCAGGCAGGAACAAAAACAATAAAAAAAAATATATATATATATATATATATATATATATATCCAGGTAAAATGAGAACAAATAGAGTAAAATTTCACTGTACATAACGTTTAATTTAAAAGAGGGCCCAATACAGAGTAGAGTTAAATATTATTTATTTTAGGAAATTAAAACAAAAATGTTAAAAATTGCTACACAATGGCAATTATGTTTCAACACTACAAATGTGTCTCCTCGGGCAATGATAAACTACTGGTAAGTGAACAATTAATTTAATTTCAAGAGCAGAATACTTCCTCTTTTTTCAAGATAAAAAAGTGAACAGAATTAAAAATAGTCTTGTGGGCTTTACCGTGATTAACCAATCGAATGTAACCTATGCTAAATTCAAACTCACTGAAAAAATTTTTTATATATATAATGATAATGTTTTTATTATAATATTTTACATTGCTATACAAAATCTTTCATGTTTCGGAACGATAATGTTACTTCATCAGGCAATGATAGATAACTTATGATGAAAATGATTTATTAGGGAAACTCGAAAACAAATCATTACCTCATTTGAAAGTTAAAAAGAAGGGGGAAATCACATTAATCCCTACAATCAACTTATCCTCAGAGATCCCAAGACACTCCCCTAATACATAATTTTGTCTTTCTTTCATTCAACTTGATGATACCAAAGAGGACATACACTTCCTCCATTGAGACATGTCTTTGATAAAAGTTTTCCACTCTCTCTCATCATATATATATATATATATATATATATGGTGTACTCTCCTATTGTATTTGACATATAAAGGTCAAGCAGCCCAGTTCCTAGAAATCAACAGCCCAGACACGAGCACATATGATTTGATTATAGTGGTGAACGCTTTGTGCAGAACCAACCATACTTTTTGAAGGGCCGAATACAGAGACCTGTTGCACTACATGCCACAAGGTCCCCAAACAACCCTCCACAGGTTTTGCATTCAGAGTTGTCCCTCTCCTAGACCAGTTGCCATCCAAGGCTATAGAACCCAGTCTATCCTACTATTTACCAATAGCTGGAAGGAGAAGAAGAAGATTCATACTTTTCGCAAGGGTATTAGCATGTAAGTGAATGTAATAGATTTGACTGGAATTCGAACTCGGCTCTCCAATTCCTCAATCCCACTACTCTACCATGCCCCCTACTAATATATATATGTGTGTGTGTGTGTGTGTGTGTGTGTGTGTGTATTGATGTAATAAAAGAACAGTTAGATTAATAATCCAAAGTTCTTTAGTATTTGTTTTTATTTTTAAAAAACATTACTTGATACAGAAGCAGACCTTAAAATTAGTCTTCAGTTAGTTATTGTAAACATCACTTGAGTGTGAAACACTGCTCCAAATTTTAAGTTTAATATTGAAACTAAACTTTATGACTTGAGTCAGTTTCGAAACATAGTAATTTCTGTGTTGCGATGGAATAATATTTTTTTTAAAAATTAATTTTATATATATATATATATATATAAATAAATTAAGTTTATTTCTAAAATGCAAAGTGAGAAATATCCAATCATGCAATAAGGATTGGGTAAAATCATATTTAATATGCTACTAAGAAATATGTCTGATAAAGCAGAAAGGAAAAAAAATATGTATGAATGAGGCAAGGCATAGAGTTGTGTAGTGCAAATAAGTGTAATAACCAATCAATCAGTAAAGAGCCATACTTGATACACAGTAGGTTGCTGTTTTTTTCTGCAATAGACTGAGAAGAGATGGATTCATATCTTTCCCAAGGGTATTTGTGTGTAAGTGAATGTAACGAACCTGAGTGAATTTAGTAGTAGTACAAAAAGATTACATATAACCTTATAAATATCTCAACTTGTGATGAAGGCATAATTTTGCATCCCCCCCCAAAAAAAAACTCATTTTTTTTACCTAATATTCAAAAAGGACAAATTTCATTAATAAGACGCTCTTTGTTCCAGTGAACAAGTATACAATAGCCATTAGGATAATATTATGGATAAGAAGCCGAGCATCAAAATTAAGAACTATGTCATGAAAGAATCCAAACGTATTATAAAAAATAATATTATAAAAATGATTGTTTGATGTAATTTGGATAATTTCTACACCCAGTAAAGTCCCATACATAATACATACATTTTGGGAGATCATGTCTCTTTCAGTTCATGACTGACTAGGCAGAAGATTTTCCTGTTGTAGGTTTGCTAACCAAGGTTATAGGACTTGTTGTGTCCTGCTGTTTCAACCCATCCATGCTGATACTAATAATAAGAACTCAGTTAAGTGCCATATGTGATACACACTTTGGTGATCATGTCTCTTTCAGTTCATGACTGACTAGACAGAAGATTTTCCTGTTGTAGGTTTGCTAACCAAGGTTATAGGACTTGTTGTGTCCTGCTGTTTCAACCCATCCATGCGGATACTAATAATAAGAACTCAGTTAAGTGCCATATGTGATACACACTTTGGTGATCATGTCTCTTTCAGTTCATGACTGACTAGACAGAAGATTTTCCTGTTGTAGGTTTGCTAACCAAGGTTATAGGACTTGTTGTGTCCTGCTGTTTCAACCCATCCATGCTGATACTAATAATAAGAACTTTAAGTGCCATATGTTACACACTTTGGTGATCATGTCTCTTTCAGTTCATGACTGACTAGGCAGAAGATTTTCCTGTTGTAGGTTTGCTAACCAAGGTTATAGGACTTGTTGTGTCCTGCTGTTTCAACCCATCCATGCTGATACTAATAATAAGAACTCAGTTAAGTGCCATATGTGATACACACTTTGGTGATCATGTCTCTTTCAGTTCATGACTGACTAGGCAGAAGATTTTCCTGTTGTAGGTTTGCTAACCAAGGTTATAGGACTTGTTGTGTCCTGCTGTTTCAACCCATCCATGCTGATACTAATAATAAGAACTCAGTTAAGTGCCATATGTGATACACACTTTGGTGATCATGTCTCTTTCAGTTCATGACTGACTAGGCAGAAGATTTTCCTGTTGTAGGTTTGCTAACCAAGGTTATAGGACTTGTTGTGTCCTGCTGTTTCAACCCATCCATGCTGATACTAATAATAAGAACTCAGTTAAGTGCCATATGTGATACACACTTTGGTGATCATGTCTCTTTCAGTTCATGACTGACTAGGCAGAAGATTTTCCTGTTGTAGGTTTGCTAACCAAGGTTATAGGACTTGTTGTGTCCTGCTGTTTCAACCCATCCATGCTGATACTAATAATAAGAACTCAGTTAAGTGCCATATGTGATACACACTTTGGTGATCATGTCTCTTTCAGTTCATGACTGACTAGACAGAAGATTTTCCTGTTGTAGGTTTGCTAACCAAGGTTATAGGACTTGTTGTGTCCTGCTGTTTCAACCCATCCATGCTGATACTAATAATAAGAACTCAGTTAAGTGCCATATGTGATACACACTTTGGTGATCATGTCTCTTTCAGTTCATGACTGACTAGACAGAAGATTTTCCTGTTGTAGGTTTGCTAACCAAGGTTATAGGACTTGTTGTGTCCTGCTGTTTCAACCCATCCATGCTGATACTAATAATAAGAACTCAGTTAAGTGCCATATGTGATACACACTTTGGTGATCATGTCTCTTTCAGTTCATGACTGACTAGGCAGAAGATTTTCCTGTTGTAGGTTTGCTAACCAAGGTTATAGGACTTGTTGTGTCCTGCTGTTTCAACCCATCCATGCTGATACTAATAATAAGAACTCAGTTAAGTGCCATATGTGATACACACTTTGGTGATCATGTCTCTTTCAGTTCATGACTGACTAGGCAGAAGATTTTCCTGTTGTAGGTTTGCTAACCAAGGTTATAGGACTTGTTGTGTCCTGCTGTTTCAACCCATCCATGCTGATACTTAATAAGAACTCAGTTAAGTGCCATATGTGATACACACTTTGGTGATCATGTCTCTTTCAGTTCATGACTGACTAGGCAGAAGATTTTCCTGTTGTAGGTTTGCAACCAAGGTTATAGGACTTGTTGTGTCCTGCTGTTTCAACCCATCCATGCTGATACTAATAATAAGAACTCAGTTAAGTGCCATATGTGATACACACTTTGGTGATCATGTCTCTTTCAGTTCATGACTGACTAGGCAGAAGATTTTCCTGTTGTAGGTTTGCTAACCAAGGTTATAGGACTTGTTGTGTCCTGCTGTTTCAACCCATCCATGCTGATACTAATAATAAGAACTCAGTTAAGTGCCATATGTGATACACACTTTGGTGATCATGTCTCTTTCAGTTCATGACTGACTAGGCAGAAGATTTTCCTGTTGTAGGTTTGCTAACCAAGGTTATAGGACTTGTTGTGTCCTGCTGTTTCAACCCATCCATGCTGATACTAATAATAAGAACTCAGTTAAGTGCCATATGTGATACACACTTTGGTGATCATGTCTCTTTCAGTTCATGACTGACTAGACAGAAGATTTTCCTGTTGTAGGTTTGCTAACCAAGGTTATAGGACTTGTTGTGTCCTGCTGTTTCAACCCATCCATGCTGATACTAATAATAAGAACTCAGTTAAGTGCCATATGTGATACACACTTTGGTGATCATGTCTCTTTCAGTTCATGACTGACTAGGCAGAAGATTTTCCTGTTGTAGGTTTGCTAACCAAGGTTAAGGATTTTTGTGTCCTGTTTTCAACCCATCCATGCTGATACTTTATGCCATATGTGATACACACTTTGGTGATCATGTCTCTTTCAGTTCATGACTACTAGGCAGAAGATTTTCCTGTTGTAGGTTTGCTAACCAAGGTTATAGGACTTGTTGTGTCCTGCTGTTTCAACCCATCCATGCTGATACTAATAATAAGAACTCAGTTAAGTGCCATATGTGATACACACTTTGGTGATCATGTCTCTTTCAGTTCATGACTGACTAGGCAGAAGATTTTCCTGTTGTAGGTTTGCTAACCAAGGTTATAGGACTTGTTGTGTCCTGCTGTTTCAACCCATCCATGCTGATACTAATAATAAGAACTCAGTTAAGTGCCATATGTGATACACACTTTGGTGATCATGTCTCTTTCAGTTCATGACTGACTAGGCAGAAGATTTTCCTGCAATAGGTTGCCATTTCTTTCTGCAGTAGACTGGATGCCAACCAAAGCTATAAGGATATTAACAAACCAAAAATTAAGGGCTATATTTATCTTATTGTAATATACTTAGCTTAGACGAAAGATATATTTTACCTTGAATATTTTACTTACTGAATAAAACTATTGATATAGAAAAAAGGGCAAATTGTTGCACTGAAATTTTTTAGAATGGACAAATGAATGAAGGTTTATAAACCAAAAATGTCTATACAAGGATTGTGTAGTTTCACACAAGAATTTTTAACATTTCACCCCAAGTAATGTCATAATGCCACTAAGACTCAAGTGGTTACTGGGAGTGTAAAAGAATGAGGAGATGGCAAAGTTTAATCTTTGTGCACACAATAAAATGGTGTGTAAAAAGAACAGTTTTTCCCTTGACACTGGTTAAACATTGTGGAGAAGAATTTAGTGAGTAGAAAGGACAAAAAAAACAAAAAAAACAAAACAAAACAAAAAACAGTATTCAGAAAAACTGATAGTGATTAACATTGCACTTAATTTTTTGAAGATTGTAGGTGGCAAGGAAAAAAGAAACTGGAAGTGTGAGAAAATAAATTATTAGAATAGAACATAAGGTTACATCTAGCTATTTCATCAGTAAAACGAGGAGACCGAGTTGCCATTCTTATAGTACGCTTTAATTCAGGCAGTCAAGACAACAAGGGGGATAACTCAAAACAACTGTTACGAGAATATTTATAAAAAAAAAACACAGGGGAAGTTCTCTGCCAAAAATATGACTAAATATTAAATTTTTTCTTTTACAGAAAAGTTTCTTAGTTGAACCAAGAACTTTTCAGCATCCTAACTGTAGATCCATTTAAATTCCTGGAAGTAGTTCCTTAATCATGCATCTGGTATTTTTAATTATCGATGCTTCCTGATATGCCAGGATGGGGAGAAGATGGAGTTGATTGACATTATATCTTGCCCCTGAATGATCAAAAACTTTGTAAAACATGGACACTCAATTAAGAGATTTTTCAGAAACCATAACAAAAAAAAAAATCCAAATTTAACAATAAAATGGTGAAAAAAGAAAATGGCAGGGGTGAAAATCAATAATTTTTCTGACTCACCTGTATTTGGGCTAATTGCAAAGAAGCTAAGCAGACCATGTACTGAAAATGATGATCTCGAGCCAATGTGATACATCGAAGAATGTAGAATACAGCTATACTATAATTACATGTCTTACGAAGTAAATCAGACAATTCTAAAAGCACACTGAAAAATAAAACATAAAATAATAATTAAGATTTATATATATATATATCTCCCAAGTATAGGATTGATGTATATGGAATGAATTCCAATAACCAAAAAATACTATTCTTAAAAGAGCGCTCAATACAGAGTAGAACAAATATAATTTATTAAAAAATTATGACCTAAATATGTTACAAAATCACTACAAAAATAGCCATTTTCTTGAATGTAGAACACCATCACTTGATAAGATACCAAAAGTGTTGAAAGAAAATGTCTATTTTTGTAGTGATTTTATAACATATTTATTTTATAATTTTCGAATAAATTATATGTATATATATATAAAAGCTTCTGTTATGTTAGTTCCCCAGTCTGCTTTCCCAGGTACAGGTCAAATTAAATTACAATTTTACTTATAAACCTATATATATATATATATGTAGATATTATTTTATCATTTCACCTCAAGCAAGGTAATAAAGCCACTAAGACAGTGAGGTTACTGAATGTTAAAGAATATGAGAAAAAGAAAAAAATTATTAAGAAGTAACAAGAACAATAAAAGAACAGTAATTAAGAAGACATAAAATAATGATTGGTATGAAAGCAGAAAGCAGCGCAGAATAATTACTGTAAAAATATTTATAGAAAAGGCTCAGAGGTATTTTATGGCAGTGGGACAGTGACTAAAGCTGAAATACCATGTCAGGACCAATAACATAGCAAATTCTTCTTCAGATTTTATCAAGTATCTCTAAATATATAGCAAAAGCAACAGACCAAAGGTGACAGTGATATTCAATGCAAGAATGAATGATAGACATATATATAAGATAGATTTTGGGAAGAAAAATTGTCTAGCATGACACAGTGAACCAACAGACCTAGCAACTGATTCAATATAATCACTCCACTTCATGTCTGTGGGAAATTTTAGCCAGAGAAAATGCAATTAGTCACTCTGTAATTTAGCATCAGCCATGCTGATGGAATGAGAAAAAGGTTCTCTCCGATGATTAAAAGAAAGCAGTTTTGTTTTGGAGGGGTAAAATTAAGAGCCATTTCTTCCATTTCTCATTCATATATATATATATATATATATATATATATATATATATATATATATATATGCCACTAGATTTTGAGCAATGTCATTGTTTGATCCATTCTCAAATATAGGCAATGTGGATATATATATATATATATATATATATATATATATATATAAAAAATAATCTGTATATTTTGGCAGCATATTTTCATTTAAACATGTCTGATTAAACAATTTAGACATGTTGTGTTTGTTTATTTTTAATAATATCCTTTTTTAATCATGTATAAGCTTTGTTGTTTCATGATTAAAGAGAGCAAGGAAGGTACCATGGTTGTATTTATTCATTTTTATTTTTCCAAGTACTTTCGATATATTCCAGTATCCTCTTTAGGGTTATGATAGCTAAGACAAATAATTGTTTGTTTGAAGTAAATTTTTACAACATGGAAAAAATTTGAAAAATCACCGTTTGTCACTTTGCAGATGACTGGAATTGTTAATGGTTTAACCACAAAAGCAAAACTTATTTTAGATAAACACAATTATTTATCTTAGTCATTATAACCCTGAAGATGATACTGGAATATATCGAAAGTACTCGGAAAAATAAAAATGAATAAATACAATTGGAGTTGTCCCTTACTATTTTAATCATGAAACAACAAAGCTTATACATGATTACCAAAGGATATTATTGAAAATAAACAAACACATGTTTAAATTGTTTAATCAGACATGTTTAAATGAATATATATATATATATATATATTCTGTTTATAAGTTATTTTTATAGATATAATTTATTTAAGTAAGTGCTCTGTTTTTTTAATTAAACAGTATTAATTACATTTACCAACCTGAATATTTGAGAAATTTTGTAGAAAATATGTGTTTCTCCAACAGAAATTGAACCTGTTACCCTTATGAGGAACCGTCATTTGATCTGACAAGCTGTTAACCATTCAGCTACAAAGAAGTGTCTGGTTTGCAAAGTCCGAATTACTGTTTAAAAACACACACCTTTGACAATTTTTCTAGATCAATCATTTCTGAAACTTGTTACTGTAAACAAAAGACAAAATATTATGAAACGGATTAAGTCCGACCATTATTTAATATATTTTCTGTTTATACTTTATAGATATAATTAATTTGCAATAATTTTACTAATTAATTATATCTATAAAAGTAAAGTATAAACAGAAAATATATTAAATAATTGTCGGACTTAATCCATTTCATATATATATATATATATATATATATATATATATATATATGTGAAAAGTGTATATAAATATAAATAAATATATATATGTATAATTATTTATATATTATATGCACAGTACTTATTAGAAAGCTCAATATCAGAGATAGAGCTAACATATTTGGTTGGATAGATGTGAGTTTGTGACCCTGGGTTTCACGCTTTTAGCGATCGTCAGACAAACTGATTAATGTTTTAAAAATTTGGGTTTATGTAGATTGCGTGTATTGATGTTATTGTGGAAGTGGCGGGAAACTTCGTCGTTTTGTCATTCTTCGTTACTAACGCAAAACATCGATGTATGCAGACACATATACATACTTGGTCGTCCGTCGGGACTCATATATATAAACATATGTGGGCAGTTTCGGATATGACATATGTATGTATACGGGTGGTGTTATGTCTATACATACGCATTTGTATGTTGAAATGTTGAAATTTAAAGATTGGAAGTGTGGCGGAAATGTCTCGTGAATGTCTCATGAATATATACATGTCATATTAAGTATTTTCCGCTGAATAATATTTCTCGCATGTATGTATATACGTGTGGTGGGGTTTAAAAAATTATGATAGGTAAAAATTATTATTATTTATATTTATTTTAAATTTTGAAAAAAAAAAAATGGGGTTTATTTGTTATATTTAAAGCTGGTTATTTGTTTGTTTTTGGTGACTGTGTATATGTAACAGGTAGAAATTTGTAATCCTTATTGGTTAATTTATATGGTGATGTTTAATATTCAGTGTGCTGGGTGAGAGGGTAGTTCAATTTAATAACGGGTCTATATATGATGTGATAGTAATGTTTCAAGGGATTGGAAAAATAATTGCATCTATCATTATTATCATTGCACCACCATTAGTAATCACTTTTACCACTTTACAATAACTATTAATTAATAATATTATCATTACCACCAACACACAGCACCATCACTTACACATCACACCCACTATTAACATATAAATCCACTACAATCTTTATTACTCCCCCAGCATATTTAATACCTTAAAACAATATGATCAGATATAATTTCCATATGTAACCATGAGAATAAAAACCTATTACCAGGCAGCTTTAATATAATAACAATAATAATTTTGTAAATTAAAAATTAAAAATTATAGCAATCTTCAACTACCATAATTTTACACAGAATACCTATTATCAGGATTTATACCAAAATAAATTAATACATATAACAAAATAAAATAAAAATAAAATAAAACACCAACAACCACTTTTTAGTTCAAACTACCACCACTATAACTACATTCATGGTTTTATCATTCTCCCACCACTGTTACTAATCATTTCTACCAATTTACAATAACTATAAGCTAATTATATTATCATTGTCTCCAATCCCTTGAAACCTTACTATCACATCATATAGACCGGTTATTAAATTGAACTACCCTCTCACCCAGCACATTGAATATTAAACATCACCATATAAATTAACCAATAAGAATTACAAATTTCTACCTGTTACATATACACAGTCACCAAAAACAAACAAATAACCAGCTTTAAATATAACAAATAAACCCCCATTTTTTTTCAAAAATTTAAAAATATAAATAATAATAATTTTTACCTATCATAATTTTACATTAAGTGTTGTGCCACACGTATATACATACATGCGAGAAATATTATTCAGCGGAAAAATACTTAATATGACATGTATACATTCACGAGACATTTCCGCCACACTTCCAATCTTTAAATTTCAACATACAAATGCGTATGTATAGACATAACACCACCCGTATACATACATATGTCATATCCGAAGCTGCCCACATATGTTTTATATATGTATGAGTCCCGACGGACGACCAAGTATGTATATGTGTCTGCATACATCGATGTTCTACGTTAATAAGATGAATGACAAAACGACAAAGTTTCCCCACCACTTCCATAATGACACCAATACACGCAATCTACATAAACCCAAATTTTTAAAACATTAATCAGTTTGTCTGATTTATCGCTAAAGCGTGAAACCCAGGGTCACAAACTCACATCTATCCAACCAAATAAATATATATATATATATATATATATATATATATATATATATATATATACATATATATATAGACATGCATACATAGACACACACACACACACATATATACATACATATGTACATAAACATTTTGTCTGTATATAATCTTCTACAAGGAGCGCTGAAAAAATCTTGGCTAAATTAAAAATAACCTACAGACATAAAATGTATCATACATGCTATTCCATATATTCCCCACTGCAGTTCAAATCACTTGGCATATTAATTTCTGAAGATTCTTAAATGTTCGCCCATAAATGTTCTGATATTTGCTCACCAAATCCTGATTTTAGGGAGTGGCTAAAACCAAGAACTTCTTAGCAACTCCTTGTTTTCTTGAGGTTAATATTTTGAAGAATAACACTACTATTGTCTTCATCTTTGTTGTTGTTATCACAACTTAAGTTTTAAGGCTCCAGAATTTCCACAGAGAATTGTCCCACAGGACAATAGCCTTGTAGATTAAAGCATTGGTCTGTGAATTTGGTGACACAGTAATTGTGAGTTCAATCCTTGGGCACTTGGACTTAGTGGAAACAGGGCAAGCAATAACTGAGCAGTACTAAGAACAGGAACTAGATGAGATATCACTAGACACAGGTAGTCAAGACCAATCTACCCCCATAGATTAAATAAGGAGTTCACTTTGGAATTCCCTGTAGGTTAACAAGATTGATATACAGCTGAGGAAAACACAACGGCTGAAACGGTGTGATAGTAACAACAAAGATGAGGACAATAGTCTGCATGTAAATAGTTTAAATAATGGTAACTTCTCATCCCAGAAATTCAGACAGAAATTAGAAGACATTTTTAATTAGAAGACTCTCCAGGTATAGAACAAGTAATATAACAATTTCATGATCTCTCTGACTGTTCTTATTTTTTCTTAAGTTCTAAAAAAAAAAAAAAAAACTGTTTGTTCTGATTTCTTCAGAAACAAAAGATAAGAAAAACAACAAAAAATAAAGGAAAACAGTCATCATGAAAATATTTAATTTCAAAACCAACTTCTGTGATATATAATCACCTGTTCATTACATATTCCCCAACAAATACATAAAAACAACTCATAACTAGAAAATCTTTTAAATCAGCCATACACTTACCGACATAAGTAGTAAGGTGTGATTTGGTATTCATTTTTTTCACATTTCTCCAGCAATTCATGCATATGAGCTAGGGCCTTACTCACTTGGCCAGTTTCTTTTAGTAAAATACCACAACTGGAAATATAAAGCACCATTAATTCCCACTTTAAAATTTGGTAATAATTATAAAAATTAAAATAAAAATTCAGATTCTAACAAAATCCAGTATTATAAGTTTATAAATTATATAAAATTAATGACCACTATTTAAAAATTTTTTAAAAATCTATTATTGCCCAGCATCCCATTTTTGGGGACTGGTTAATAAAAGAAAATTGTTTAATGTATTTTAGCCATTAAATTGGACATATTAAAACAAGAGCAAAGAGAAAGAGGAAAGAGAAAAAAAAGGAAAAGAAAGAACAAAGAACAAAGAGAAAAAAGAAAGAACAGAAAAAAAGAAAAAGGAAGAGGAAAGAGAAAAAAGGAAAACAGGAAAGAGAAAAAAGGAAAGAAAGAACAAAGAGAAAAAAGAAAAGAAAGAACAAAGAGAAAAAAGAAAAGAAAGAACAAAGAGAAAAAAGAAAAGAAAGAACAAAGAGAAAAAAGAAAAGAAAGAACAAAGAGAAAAAAGAAAAGAAAGAACAAAGAGAAAAAAGAAAGAAAAGAAAAGAGAAAAAGCGGAAAAAGGAAAACAGGAAAGAGAAAAAGAAAAGGAAAGAAAAAAAGAAAAATTAAAAAAAGAAAAAGAAAGAGAAAAGGGAAAGAGAAAAAAAGAGAAAAGAGGAAAAAGAAAATGAAAAAAAGGAAAAAGAATGAAGACCAAAGAGAGAAAAAAAAAAGAATTTTTTTATATTTACTGTAGACAGTAAAAGCACACTGCTGGTTATTTAATAACTGTTTAAGCTTAACACCTTAGTGAGTTATTTGGTACAAAATAAAATATTGTATTGAGGACAGATTTTTTTTTTATATAAATTACATCAATTATTATAAAGATATCTGCTTCCTTATAACATTATCTATTTTAGAAAACAAAAAAGGAAAAGAAAATATCAAATGCTGAAAACTCAAATCATTCAAGAAATTCAAAATGCATGAGTATGAAAGAAGAATTTAAAAATGAAAATAAAAAAAATGGATATCCAGTGACTGCCATGAAAGTACTTCTAAAATCATATCAATGTTGAGTACAAAGTGAAAACTCAGAATGAATGGATTAAGAGTTCTGATTTCCAAAATAGCCTACCTGATTTCTGCTTCCATCTTATTTACAGATCTGAGATTAGCCAATGCGATTTCTGCATCACTCCATTTACATGCATGAATAGCCAAAGTGAATTTCATTTCCTGTTCAGTAGCCATCCAAATATGTGCATGGGCCGTATTAGCAGGGAATCTTTCTTTGGCACTCTTCAAAATCACCAAAGCAATTTTGATCATCCCCTGATAAAAGATTTTTTTAAATAGTAATAAAACAATGCTATGAAAAAAAAACAAAAAACAAACAAATGCTTAAACTTCATGCCTGAAAAAAAAACCCAGTGTGTCAAAAGGACGGTTATTACCTTGACACTGCTATTACTGTGTACACTTTTGACTCCCTCTGAAATGTTTATTTACAAGATTATAAAAACATTTGAACCAAATACAATAAGATATTTATAATTTACCTTTAAGAAAGGTTTATTATTTCAGTCAGTCAGTTATGTGCCATACGTGATATGTGCTTAGGCGATCATGTATATTTTGATACCTGACTGACGGGGCAGATTTTTTTTTCCTGCAGTAGGTTGCCATTTCTTTCTGCAGTAGACCAGTTGCCATCCAAGGCTATAGAACCCGGTCTGTCCAGCTATTTACCCATTACTGGGGGGAGAAGAAGAGGATTCATACCTTTCCCAAGGATATTATCATATAAGTGAATGTAATGGATTTGACTGGAATTCGAACTCGGCTCTCTGATTCCTCAATCTGTGCCGCTATCCATTACTCCACTGGGCTCATTTTATAAAGAAATAAATTTGAAAAGAAATATTTTTTTTCAAAAATTTATAAAAAATTACAAAATTATCAAAATGTGTAAGAGAAAGAGATGTCCTCAACCTATTTTAGTGAATTTGTGTGGCGAGAGCAAATTAAAGAAAATACCCAGGAAATCCTTTTTATTGAAAATTTATAATTACAGTCACGTGTCATTATGTGTCTATTTAAGTTTTCTTGTTCAGACATTTTTATAAATTTATGAATAAAAAACTTTTCATATTTATTTCTTTATAAAATGGTAAATAATAAATATTTCATTATAGTTGGTTCACATATTTTTATAATCTTGTAAATATAAAATTATTCTTGTAAATAAGCAATCTAATAACATCTTTGTTGTCAATTCTCAAGAATAAAGTGAAAACTCAGAATGAATGGATTAAGAGTTCTGATTTCCAAAATACCCTACCTGATTTCTACTTCCATCTTATTTACAGATCTGAGATTAGCAGTATAATGTATAAATCCGCTTTCATATGTTTGGGTTTTATTAAACTTCTAATCATTGCTTTTAAAACAACAGACATTATCAAGGGAGTCAAAAAGGTATACAGTAATAGCAGTGTCAAATGAATAACAGTCCTATTGATACACCTTTTTTTTGTTGGCATGAATGTTAAACATTACAAAAAAAAAAAAAAAGAAAAAAAAAGATAATCATCATTATGTGCTGCGATCATAGCTCTCCACAACTTCCTGTCCCCTGTAATTCTAAGCAACGTCTGACTCTTTACCATTCCACCTTGTCCCTTATTCCGATATCCATTTAAACAAACTCATTAGGTAAGTTGCTCACTGTTTCTCTCTATTAAATATTTTTTCTTCAAAAATGTTTAGCTGATAATATCTTTTTTTCAAAAATGTACTGCTGGTAATAAATGTTTTTACAAAGTATTTCTGGTATTAAAACCTATTTTTACTTTTTTTTTTATTTTGAACCTAATTTGGGGGCTAATTATTTACCCATAGTTGGGACCCTAACAGGTGCTACCACCCTGGGTCAGGGTAGACTTGGGAACACTAGCAATTAAGAGATGGTTCCATGCTCCTCAAAACCTCCTGATCAGGGGTCTTGCTGTTGGACGTAGTTTATCGTCTTAGCCAGAACAGTGAACCAGTAGTAGACTCTACAAAAAGTTATTCACTGAACAAGTATCAACTCAGAAAAAGGTTATTCAATGAAGCAGTTCAGTGAACTAGTATCATGCTGTACAAAAAGTTATTCAATGAAGTAGTTCAAAGGGACAGTACCAAATTTTGCACTATCCCTGACTTTACAGAAAAATTTAGAAAATCCTTGACAGATCTCTGATTTGTCCCTGACACTTGACATCCATGACAAGTGACCCCTCTACATTTGTTTTGTCATGAAGACTACGCTTACTTCTAATACTAATTTAATCAACATTAGTTATATCAGTTTCAAGTCTGAAATACAAAGACGTTATGAAAAGCAATGCAAACAAGCTGGATATGAAATATACAACAAAGCTTGATCTTTTTAAAAATTACATGCTATAAAGTTGTTCAATACTTATTTCTGATAAAAGCAAAAATGAAACTAAAATTCTACATTTTAAAACTTCTTGTTTAAGATTTTCTTTGGATCATAAGCTTGTTATTGATTTATTATATTTATCTAAGCTTAACATCTTCAGTGTTTATTGCAAAGAAAAGAAAGCAATCAATCAGAAATAGGACAAGAGTTTTAGGGATAATCTTAACATTGCAGCAAAGATGACAAAACTATTGTGCTGCTAAATGATGATGCTGAACTTACCTGATCAAAATGATGCTTGGCTAAATTACATATAGCAATGCAAACAGATTCTTCATTGCGAAAGATTCCAGCATCTGATGTGTCTAAATGAAGAATAAGTTGACTGACAAGAGAACAGTTTTCTCTGGAAAAAAAAAGAAGAATTACTAAAATCTCTGCAAATAATGACTAAGTCAGATGAAATGACTGAATATATTATTAGCTAAATTTCAGTGTGTTAAGCAATTTAAAAATAAAAATTATGTGAAGGCACCAGCAGTTTCCTCTATATTTATAAATTTAATTATATATATATATATATATATATCAATCCCCCAACACCCTAAATAAGACTGATGTTGTTTATGAATTTATTTGTCCAGTTAACAATTATATCTCTGTAAACAATGTTTTATTTAGGTTACACAACAACCACTCTTTCCCACAGACTTACATGCCATTTATTCAAACAAAGTGCTATTAAAAGGCACATTCATAACAACCACAGTAACATTAGACACTTCTCTAAACAACACCAAAATAATACAAAATCTCACAGCAAAAACGGACTTAATATTGTGTATTTAGGCAGCAATCCTTCTTTTATACATGTTTCATTAAAGACAACTGACAAGGTAAGCTTTTCATTTAATTTTTCTTTTGTTCATACAAGAGTTTTCTTTTCTGGATACAAAGTGTGTGAAAATTGTCCAAAAGTTCTGCATTTCCAAGCACTTTCAGTTATACTTTTATCCATTATCAAGGATGATTTTATTTTACTTTTAACTGAATGTATGGGTTGTATTATGTATGTATCTAGAGTTATAAGGATGTTTTATTTTTCCAAACACAGTCAGCTCATTGTGGCCATGTTCATAATTAATGCTACTGAGTGTTGGCTTTTTCTTTTTTATTATTAGGGCTTCCCTTATGTTTAATCTTTTTTTACATGTGGATGAGGTTATTATGTTTGTATTTTTCTACTAGTATGTTTCAGATGGAGTCTGGTAGGTTTTTTGTTTAAATGATTTCTAATGGAGCTGTGGTCAGATAGATGTAATGTAAGTTGTCTGCATAGGCATGTAGTAGTGTGACTAATGTAATTATTTATGAGTTTGGTTTAATCAGGTAAACAGTTCCTCAAGGAGAATTTGAACTTGTAAATAATGTTGGTTCTTTGTAGTTTTGATTTTACAAGTGTGGTGTTATTTTTGATGATGAGGTTAATTGTTTTAAAATTGTAATAGATAATTTAATTTTCTTGATCAGGTTGACTGGGGTAGTGTATTTCTTTATGCTATTTCTAAGTGAAGATTCATATTGCTTATAGTTGACGTGTATTTGGCTTTTATAGAAGATGTTAATGTTACTGCTTTTGTCTGTGTGTTCAGTATCATTATTAGTTAGTTTGGAAAGAAATAGTCTAATCTGATGGTTGATGAGATAGATAGGAAAACCATTGTCAACTAGTGCCTGTTTTGCCATGTTGAGTTCTTTAAGGAAATATAGACAAGAGGATGAATTTTTGTGTACTCCCTTTAGGAAATTTTTTATAACTGCTATTTTATATCTAAGTGGGAATTCAATCTTAAAATTAAGGTGGTAAGAGTTTCTGTTTGTGGTTTTTTGTGATGAAAGTGTTGTTACTGTATTCTATGAGAACATCTAAGGATGGGAGTTTATTCTTCTAACTCAGTTCATAGGTAAAGTTAGGAACAGATTTTTTTTTCCAATGTAGTTTTGAGATTATCTATTTCTTGTTTTTTGCTAAAATAAAAATATTGTCTACATAGTGGACATATATTTTGGGTATAGTGACCTTTTTAAATATGGGACATGTAGTAATTGGCGAAGCACAGGCCAAGCAGATTTCCCATACTAACACGATTAGTTTGAGTGTAGATGTTGCCATTATAGTCATAGAAGGGGACTTTGGCTGCGCAGGCATGCAATAATTTTTTGAGGATATTTGGTTTGATGGATGGAGGTGGAATGGAATTATTTGTGTATACAGAGTTAAAGATTATGTCGATAGTTTGTGACACTAAAATACCTTGGGTTAGTTTTATACTCCTTAGAATTTGAAGGAATTCATGGGTTGATGTAATGCTGTAATTGGTGGTTAGGTATGGGGTAATGATGTCATTAAGGAATTTTGATAGCTTCGAGATAAGGGGGGGATCTGGGAAATGATTGATCATAGAGGGTATCCCATTTTGTGTATTTTTATATTTTCGTATAAGTATCCTGGTTGGTAGTCTCCAATGATTTTTTTGATTTTTAGGGAACCAACGTCAGCTTTATTTGATGTTATCCGTATGTTGATGGATCTTTTTAGGGTTTCTGTGGGGTTTCTGTTTAATTTGATAAATTTAGATGGATCATCAATAATGTTTTGTAATTTTTTCAATTAAAAGTAAAATAAAATCATCCTTGGTAATGGCTAAAATTATAGACAAAAGGGCTCGGAAATGCAGAACTTTTGGACAGTTTTTAGATACTTTGTGTCCAGAAAAGAAAACACTTGTACATGTATGTGTGTATATATATATATATATATATATATATATATATATATATATATATAAGTGACAACTCTGGGGATTGGGCTGAACAGAAGTAATCCAACTGTAAAGTATATCTGTTTCAAAGAAACAAAAATCTCTAAGAACACATCAATGTCCGTGATTTCAGATAGATCTAAAGTTGTAACAGGAGCCATCATGAATAAAATAATCTTGCATTGTTTTAATTTACTATTTTTCATAGTTTTAATTTTATACTCTAAATTGTTGACTTAAATAGATTTTGCTGAAAATGTTCATAAGAATTTAACAGGAACAGCAAATGAGGAAAGTGATTACAGGGCCCCAAAATTCCAGCCTGATAAAGCTGTTAAGAAATACTTCTTATATCATGATTCAGGTGAACTTCTGCCTGAAAACTGACCTTAGAGAATGGGTGCTGGTTTTTGGTTTATTTTATTTTGTTTTATGGCATATCAACCTCAATGGGTTATTTAATGCCGACAACATTTTTAGGAGAGATTTGTATGAATAGAATATATATTCTTTGGTTTAGATTGGTTTGGTTTATTTTATTTTATGGTATATCAACCTCAATGGTTTATTTAATACTGACAAAATTTTCATTTTTGGTAATTTTTTTCCAAAAATCTATTTCTGGTTGGTTGGTTGGTTGGTTGTTTTGTTTTATGGCATATCAAAACCTCAGTGGGTCATTTAATGCCAACAAAATTTTGAAATAGATTCATAGTGATAGTTAGGTTTGGCTTGTTTTGTTTTATAGCATATCAACCTCAATGGGTTATTTAATGCCAACCAAGTTTTTGTTGCTGGTAATATTTTTTTCCTTCATAAATCTATTTTTGTTATTAAAATCTATTTTTACACTTTCATAGTGTTTTGACCCAAGTTTAGGGGTTAACTATTTGGACATAGCCGGGACCCTAGCAGGTACTACCACCCCAGGTCAGGGTGGACCTGGGAACACCAGCAATGAAGATCTGGTTCCACGCTCCTCAAAACCTCCTGATTAGAGGCCTTGCTGTTGGATGTAGTTTATCATCTTACCCAGGACCTGGATGTAGTTTATCGCCATACCCAGGACGGAGAAAGGGTGCTGAAACACCAAAACAAAATAAACTACTCTGTAAACAAGTAAATATCAGAAGTTCATAAATTTGTGATAAAAGCCCAAAAAGCAACTTTTTTGAACTGAGCCAAATAGGGAACATAGATAAAATTACAGTAATTATTGGTATAGATACAATTTCATTTCTTAATATTCTCCTATTTAGATTGGGTGAGGGGGGAGTTTTATATATTTCTGGGTCTTACATGCAATCAAATTCAAGTGTAAATGTACAATATTAAGATTTAAAAAAAAACATTTTCAAACCTTTTTCCATAAATATGCCACAGTGCTGCAATCTGGGCAAGACTAATACATACTAATTCGCCATGTGAATACTGACTGCTCACTAAATTGTTGGTTTGCATGCTTTCAATCACTCTGGAATTAAATGAAAAATCATAAAATTCAGTTTTTAGAAATAGTATTGTTAGCCAAGTTATCAGCAAACTTCAAAAAAGGTAGAGGCACAAATATAAACGTATCTTTGGGAAAATACGAAAAATCATTTCCCGAGATCTCTGACAAAAAAAAAAAAAAAAGGATGCAGACAACCAATATCTAACGATTAAGGTAATAATTCCATAAGTAAACAAAAAAAGAAAAAAAAAAAGAAAATAAAGAATGAAAATTTATCTTTGTGAAAATATGGAAAAGCATTACATCCTGAAATATTTGGTAAAAAAAAAAAAAAAAAAAAAAAGATGCAGACAACCAGTGCCTAATGATTAGGGCAATCATTTGAGAAGCAAGCAAAAATAAAAATGAAAGAAAATAAACAAAAATAAAAAAAAATATGTACAGAAAAATCACTAGAAAACTATTTCCTGAGATGTCTCACAAAAAAATTACATGGCTGCAGACAACCAATATCAAATGACATTTCGACGACATTAAATAACCCATTAAGGTTGATATCCCATAAAACAAACTAAACCAAAAATAACATCTCTTTATTTCATTTCTTAAATTTGCTTAAGACCAAATAATTTTATTAGATGTGCCAAATCCTCTTAAATAATGTCATAAAAGAAGCTTCAAGAATTTTCACTAACAGCTTCACAGTAGCTTTTCATCAATTTAAACTTTGAATGTTTACAAGACAGAATTTTATTTTTGGTGGTTGTTAGTATGACAAAAGAATGTGTGTGTGATATGATGGTGTTCAGTGAAGAAAATGGTATTAGCAAGTGGAGCTCAAATTCTGGCCGAGGCTGATAGCATTCACTTCACACTAATACACTTGGAAAAGGCATGAATTCATATTTTATTCCCTAGCTATAGGTTAAATAACAAAGCAGACTAGGTAGCCAGTCAAAAGATAACAATATCCCACTAGGTGTCTTTTCAATTCAAGATTAAACCAAAGTTATAGGACCCAGTCTGTCCTGATATTTAACCCTTATTTTTGGGGTGGGGATTGAGTCATTCATTTCCTATGGCTTATCAACACTTTGCAGGTTATTTAAAGCCAGAAAATATTTTTTAGATTGTAAGAATATTTTTGTGAGATAATGATTTAGTGATACAAGTTTTACTAATTAGCCCGTAGCTGGGGGAGAAGAGGTGTATTCATACTTTTCCCAAGGATATTTGTGCATAACTGAATATAACAAACCCAACTGGAATTGGAACTCAGTTCTCTAATTAACAATTACTGGCCATTATCCATTACACAACCTGTGCATCCAAACTTAGAACATCTGGGATTCCCAAGCAGTCACCCCATCTAGCTACTGACCAGACTTGATATTGCTTAACCTCAGTGATTGTACAGAAACTGATGTTTCAACATGTTGTGGCCGTAAGCTTTTCCTAGTTGGGTGTCTTAACAAAGGCTAAATGGTCCAACAATCCCAGTGAGCTTATCATATGTCTGGACACTAACACAGGTGTTCCTTCATCCCCACACCTGTGCTAAGTATTGAATTTGGCTAGGTATCTAACAGAAAAGCTTGGTCAAGTAACCTGTTAAGTCACCACACATCTAAGCTTATAGCACCTGGTATTCCCAAGTGGTCACCTATCTAGGTAATAACCAGGTTTGACTTGCTTAAGCAATGATTGTATGGGAATAGGGAAAGGGAAAAGAAATGAATTCACACCTTTCACAAGAGTATTTGCTTGTAAGTGAATGTAACAATCTTGACTGAAATTTGAACTTAGCTCTCTGATTTCTCATTCCAAACTGTTATCTATCACACCACCTGCACATCTAAGCTAACAACACCTGGTATTCCCAAGCAGTCAGCAATCTAGATACTGACCAGGATGAAGACTGCTTAACTCCACTATCTTCCTCAAGAACAGTTATGACAATAGATATAAAAGAAAAGGATGCTGGGCAGAGCTATGATTGCCTATGTACTGACATTAATGAAAAACAACAATTGTGTTAATTTGTGCTTTTAATCATAAATAAATCTAACAGCCTACCAACTGAATAGTTTCAGTTGCCCAAAGAATGAAGACTTCAGAAAATATTTCACAAATGACAAAGAAGAAAGTGTGTACTTACTTTGCTGGTTTCATCTTCGCAAAGGCATTATATTTGGCAAGGGACTGAATACTGAGTGATGCCAGACCCTGGAATGAAATGATTTAATGAAATGACATATTTCTTTTATCCCTCTCATTTGACAACTAGAGAGAGATTTTAAGTCAGCCAACTTAAAGGTCACAAATCTGGTTAATGGCTTAAGATGTTTTCTTGCTTCCTAACAAAAATATTTTTGCTGTTATTCATTACAAGCAAATAAAATTTTGTTGAATAATTTTTACTCCCCAGCAAAAATAATGAAAAAACCTTTTTCTTTAACAATAACCATTTAAAATTGTTATAGCATTTGTGATACTATGATTGGGACACATACATAGAAGAGAAACGTTTGATCTTATATCACTACCAAGTGTTTGTTTCATGGATGAGAAAATTAGGTCTTTGAAGTTGGGTGCTCTAAGCGGCATACACTTGACTGAAAGGGAACTGAAAAATAAAGGGAGTTGATGAGGGCTTTTGAGATCAAGTGACAACAAGCTGAATACTGATGATTTTCAATTCCCGGTGTATATTAATAGTCACAGTTGAGATTGAAGAAGTGAGTTCTGGTCTGGTTCTATCTATCCACCTAGACCAAGCAAGTGTAGCCCTGAATAAAACAATTATTTTATATTACTGGAAACAAGGTTTGAGAGTTCACATTTCTCTTTTTGTTTTCATCTTTTATTTCCTTGTGAGCCTGCAATGGGTCCTTCCCAGTTTTGGATGCACAATGATGTGAACGGAAATGAAATGTGGGGCAGTCATTGGCTGGCTAGTGGAAAGCTGAGTGAGAGTCCTGTTCTATGCTTACACATTAATCATGGTTTTTATAAATTATATTCAACTTAAAAAAAAAAGAAAAACGTGTGACAAAGAAATACAAAAATAAAGGTGGTTTAGGGAAAATGTAGCCAAAAACAACGCTTATATTTAGAATCAGAAAGAAACAGCTAAAATTTCAAGGGCATATAATGAGGAAAGAGGGCTTGGAAAATTTGACAATCACAAGTCACATTGAAGACAAGAGGGACAGAAGAAAGCAGTAAATAACATACTTATCAAGCTTAGGTAAATGCTTGGCAGAAAAGGGAGTAGAAGAGATAGCAAAAAGAGAAAATTACTAAGAGCTACAAAGGACAGGAAATTGTGGAGGTCTATGATCAACCACGTCCTGAAGGGACATGGCACATAGAAGAAGAGCATAGTAATGCATAGTAATAGTAATGTTGATTCATTTTTACATTCTTATGCAGCAAAAACCAAGAAAATCAAATCAGCTTTTTTTCATTTAATATGAATTCAGAGCATTTTTAAATGGATTTTTTAATCTGACATTTCTCATTACTATAAACTTTATTTTTAGCAAGTATACATGTTTTAGATAACATTCTGTTGTATGCTTAAAGAAGGTTACAAAGGTGGTAATTGAATGAAAGGAACAGCAACACAGGCGTAGATGAAAGAAAGAGAGGTTTCTTGTAAAAGAGAATACACTACTGAAAGACAGGGAATCGGTTAGCAAGCTAGTAATTCCCGAAGCAAGTTCGCCAGGTATATCCTGTGCACACTATATATATATCTACCGATATAGTCAGTCCACATATGTGATAGGGAGTGTGGAACATTCTTTTTCAACACATTCCTGTTATTCTAAACATTGAAATTAATTTCAACAAGCCCAGAGATCAAAGTGTGCTCTCACCTAAAGAAGTAGTTTCCCTTATGGAAAAAAGGTAATACAGGTGTGATTCCTGTCAGGAGACACATTTTTCTTTAGTAAGGAGTTCTTGATCTAGGCTGGTTGACATTAATTTCACCGTTAGTGCTACCACTAAAAATAATGTTTACAGTAATAAGAAAAGAATGCAGATCCAAATGTGAAAGATGAAACTAAAATTTGAAATATCTATTTAGATCAAAATGTGTCAAACTATTCTTGAGTTAACATCGGCAATCATGTATGAGGAATTAATGAAAAGTTTTCTTTTAGTATTTTATTCAATCAAGCTAGCTTAGACATTCATGAGTCTATCATGCCAATCATCACAGTCCTGCATCAAGGTATCATAACATAGATGGTTAATGTAGGTGGTTGCTGGGCGATCAACATGTCTTGCTTGATGGCTAGGTGTCCAGAGCAACAGATCACTCGCGAGTTCTTGTTTTGCTCACCAGCAGTGTCCTACAAAGCGCATTCTGTGTTCACGTAAGATTGTAGAAATATCAGGGATAAGTCCATAGAGGTATGATTTAGTTGGATGTTGTCTCCAAGAGATGTTAAAATTATAGATATCAGCATTAAACTGTAGGTTCCATCAAGCTTACTCTCCATTAACATGTTACAATGGACAAATGTTTTCCAATTTTAAACAGGACAAAAAAAAAAAACTCATTAACAAAAATAAACTCACCGGAAGAGAAATTTGACGCTTCATGAGTTTAGCTGTGTCGGCACTTCCTTCATCTCCTAATCGATGAAGCCAAACCTAAAGACAAAAATAAAATATGTAAGCAAAACATTTAGGAATTAACTGATGCTGACTTTCTATCTAGAATCACCAGAATTTAAGATTTTAAGAGTAGTTTTATTCATAAATTTCATCATAATTTTATTAAATCTGTTTTTGGCAAGATAGTTTGTGTTAAACTTTACATGGTGAAGAAATATAAATTTATCATAAACAAATCTGTGTATATTCTAGCTATTAAGTTAAAAATTCCCAGCAGCATTTTTTGTATAATATTCAGTCAGTCAGTTAAATGCCATACATGATACATGCTTGGGCGAACATGTATCTTTCAATACATGACTGACGTGGCAAATTTTTTTTTCCACAGTAGGTTACCATTTCTTTCTGTGGTAGACTGGTTACCAACCAAGGTTTGAAGAACCCAGTCTGTCCTGTTATTCATCCCATAGCTGGGGGGAGAAGAGATGGATCATACCTTTCCCAAGGGTATTTGTACATAAGTGAATCTAACAAACAACTGGAATTTGAACTCGGGTCTGTATAATCTTAGAGAATTCTTAAAAGCATTCTTTAAGATTAATCTTATGTACCAAATGCTGACAGGATTAAATTATTTCCTTCAATTCCCTCTACCCTGGCACAGAGCTTATTTCGTACAGGGCACATTTATTATTTTTTCAAATAATTTTCTCAGTGGCATGATTATCTTGTTCCACGTTTATTAAATGTCAGCTTGTGTACCAAATACAAGTGCTAGTGTGATTAAACTACTTCCTTCAATTCAAGCTACAGTAATTATTTGGTATGACACACTTATTACTTTTTTTAGGTTCCATTTAGACAGCTTCTTTCTCAGAACTGTTTGATCACTAGAATCTTAACCATTTCAAGTCTAAGGTTGACAGATATCTATCCTACATATCCTCATATATACCTCTTCCTTCTTCCCTTACATCCTTACAACAATCTCATTCAGTAACGCTCTACTTTGAATGGTTCTTGGGCCTTGTATTAAAACAATAAATAAAATTAATTTTCTCTTTGGTAAGATTATTTTGTTCCAGTTTATTAAACTTATTCTTGTATACCAAACACATTTGCCAGCATGATTAAATTATTTCAATTTCCCCAACCCCATCATGGTGCTAATTTGGTACAGCATGTTTATTACTTTTTAAGTAATTTTCTCCATGACACAATTATTTTGTTCCAGTTTATTAAACTTACTCTTGTACTGTAAAAATGGAATTATTATTAATTATTTATTATTTGTCCTCCCTTACCTGTAATGTTGTTTATTTAATACAAGGCACGGTTATTATTTTCAAATAATTTTCTTCACAGCAGGATTATTTTGTACTATGTTTATTAAACTTAGTCTTGTGTACGAAATACCAGTGCTGGCATGATTAAGTTATTTCTTTCAATCCTCACCCTTGGCATGAGGCTTATTTAGTACAGCCCATTTACTTTTTTTTTTTAAATATTTTTCTCCATGATACAATTATTTAATTCCAATTTATTAAACCTATATACGCTTATTTTGCAAGTTAAAAAATACAGCACTTGTATTTGATACAAAAGTGTAAAGTGAACATTCCCAAGAGTCTGAGTATTCCAAATGGCATTCATATTCTGTACAAAAGGGGCTACTCAGCTCATTATTGTTTGTGCATAAATATTCTAAAAATAATTTGTAGAAAAGTGATAATTTTGTCAAAAATCATGGCAGAATACAAAATACTGATTCAACATAGTTTATTCTTTACATTTAACCCGGTTTAAGTGCAGCAGAACTTAAATGATGACTCGTTCAAGCAACAGCAAAAAGGGAGATTTTGAGCTCAAAAACAAAGCATGTTCTGGAAAATGTCAAAACTTGTAAACTGATGAACTGGAGAAACTTATAAAAAGAGCTGAACAAATTCAGTAGATTCAAATCCTCAATGACTTGTGACTTTGTGCTAGTACAATCATCAACAGCTTCAAACAGTTTATCTACCCAATGTGGCATGGTTTTCAGGTACTTCCCAATAGTGCTGCTCACTAGGGTCATCTCGCCAGGTTGATATCAAGAAGTCACCGCTTTAACAAATTGACCATGTTGACTCAAACCTGGGTGTTATGGCAGAATGCTAATGCACTAACTACTTCGCCATGTACAAATATGATAAAAAAATAAATAAAAAAAAAACACGATTTAAATTATAATATAACAAATCTAACTTACTAGAGCATGCTGCAGGCATATATGGTCATTGGTTTCCTGAGCCATTCGGATGGCTTCTCTGAGGGCAGCTAAAGCCTGTTCCCTGTAAATACATACAATGTAAAACATCATAAAATTGTAATTCTTTCATGATAAATATACTTAGCTGATAATGAAAATATTACAACAAACAGAATGAAACAGTGCATTTATATGCTAGGAAAACAATAGGGTAATGATGTTGTTGAGCCAACTCTATGATAACACAAAATATGGTGTCATTGGCCTTGGTTAAGTTTAATTGGCAAAAATTCTCAACAAATGGAATTGACAAAGTTCTCAATAAACAATAAGAAAAGGAAGAAAAAGAACAGGGCAAAATAATACTAAGCAAACAAAATATATACATGTAAAACCTAGGCAAAGCAACAGTAATAAGGCAAAAAGTTCACAAAGTAAGAATGGTTTCACATGCAAAAGGGATACAGTCAAGTGATTGTAGCATTCTGATTTCAAGCCATGAAAACAAAAATGCAACAGTTGACAGGAAAAAAGTAGTCCATTTTTATTGACTAGGACAAAATCCCAGCATGCATCTGTAGGATTTGTTTATAAATTTGGGAAGAGGATGGTTTTAGCAATCATTCCCTTTGAATTGGAATCAACAGAAGACTTGATCTCACTTATTTAACATTACATTTTTGATTAACTCCATACTTCTTCAATTTCCATCAACCAGAATGTGTGCAGTCCCAGAGCCCCTCCTCTGAACATAGACTTTACACTCTTGTCTGCAATATCTAAGCGACTGCTCTCTACATTCCTCTCTAAAGAGGGGTCCCATATATCTCCTGTAATAGAATCTTTTGCAGTGCTTGCAAAGCAGATGCAGCTGGGCCTATCATTTGAATCTGTACTTGCCAGTTGGGATGCCACCCCTTAATCAACCCTGCATCCAGTCTCTTTGATATCACATTGAGTGCAAAATATGCTCCAGCATGATCTAGGACAAAACACATACTACAACAGCAGCAGTCATGAAGTATTACAAGGGCGACCAATATAGTATTTATGACTGGGCTATGAATTTGTAAAATGTCATTAAAAATGAAACTTCACTACCCAAGATGATTGAATAGCAACAATATTTCTTCAGATTTAAGAAATTCTTTCCTAACATTTTGTTTTTATGAAAACTAAAACTTAACATGAACTTGGTCCAAGTGATATTTACTATAATCCCAAATATTAGTATGATACATAACAATTTTTTTTAATTACCAAAAAGAAAAAGAATTTTAAGTAAACAATTAATGAAACTCCTTACTTCCCATTTATTGCAATGGGAAGGCAGATACAGTCAGTTCTCCACTGATAAGATTATTATTAATAACTAGAAGTACCTGTGAATGTTTTCCTATTTTAATTTTCTCATGAATTATAATTTTTAAGTTAATCATTGAATAAGATCATTGCAAGTTCCACAACTAAATACTTGTGGAAATTCTCCTATTGCTTTGTTAAATATCTGAACTTAAAAACATTAAGAAAACATTGCAGCAACAATCAGGACTATAAATGCAGGTCATTCCCTAAAGAAGTAAGAGGGTATAAATGAAAAGATTAAAAAGTGACAAGGTTTTCCATTTTACTAAAGCAGGCATTAAATGCATGAGGGTGTTATCTTTTCTTTGTTTCTTTCTTATAATGTAAGCTTTCTTTTTCTCACTAAAACCAGACAGCATCACTTTATATACATTTTTTTCTCCTGTCTTTCTTTGTCATTAAAACTGGATGGTCCATTATTTAACTGAGGCAATGGCTGTTAATTTCTCTTGGCAAAAATGGTAGTTTGAAAAAGGTAGATCTACACAGATGGAACTGCTAAGTAATTTACATGGGAACAGTTATAAGATTATTATTGGCCAATCATAGAACTGCCTCATATATCTAAGGCCACCCAGATATTATAAAAATAATTAATAATTAACTACATTTTTTTTTCGTTTTTAAAGAACTAGATACAGAAAAGGCAAAAATCCTAGCCCAAAAGGGATGAGATACATACTTGTGACCAAAGCTGAAGTGTAAGGCAGCTAGGTTCAAGGCTGCACATCGTCTGTTGACATCATCAGTGCTGTCTTTGGTTTTAAACTGCTGGACACCAGGAAGGTCAGATGATGGTAAGACATAACGATCAAAATAATGGTAGAGATTGTGAGAAGCTGTACAGAACTCCTTCACACGGGCATTGTTCAAGTAACTCAAAAAGTGCTGTGGGCAAAGAATAAAAAACAATTTGTAACAGACTTTTCAACATTATTTAACATGTTTCAACATTTAAAATACACCATATATATAATGTATATAAAAACACCAGTCATAAAATGGGATATAATAAAAAATATATAGAAAACCAGAAGCAGAAACTGCAATCTATGTATGGAGAAGAAACTGAAAATCAGAGTTTAAGATTATGAATGGATTAATAAACAAAAGGAATGAAATTATTGCAAACTGTCAGCCTGCTGACACATTTCTTTAAAAAAAAAAAAACCCTAAAAGAACTAGTTCATTTCAAGTTATGCAAATCACATAAACCTCAATAACTTTGCTTTGAACAATTTTAAATAATTAATTAAAACATCAAAACAAAGCTTGAGTTAGATTTTTAGGTAGTTTCAACATGTTTTATTAAAGTTATTGGATTTATTATAAAGTGTCAAAATTAGACAAATTGTAAAATGGACAAAGTGTAAAAATTTCAGTTATTCTATTAGAGATTATCAACAATGTTTTTTTATTAATTTTTAACTGAATATATAGATTTTTATATATGCGTATCTATAGTGATGTGAATGTTTTTTATTTTTCAAACACAGTCAGCACATGTTCATAGTTGATTAAACAAATAACTAATAAAAAAGAAAAATCAAACACTCAGTATTATAAATTATGAACACAGCCACATTTGGAAAATAAAAATACAATCCCAGAGAACTTTGCAGCACCTCCTCATTAGAAATTAGGAAGAAAATTATGTTTGAATTTGACACTTAAATCAAATTAAAACATAATTTTCTTCCTAATTTTAAATTCCAACCCGCCAAAATTAAAGATTATTACATACTGCTTCAGAGAGATTTGGATTTTCCTTCAGAAGATTTCGTATCCGTTCTTGCAGTTCAGTGGGTGAGGCAGCCTCAGTAACATTATGATGTATCAGGAAAGCCTGGGTAGGGAGGTAAAAAGTTAGATATTCTCATCAACATAAAAGTCCCAAAAGTAAATACATTAGAAATATAAGCTAATCTCACACAAGGATACACAGATTTACAAACAATAAAAATAAAAAAAATAAAACAAAAAAATATAACTAATAGCATTTATGGAGGACATCCTTAAAATAGCATAAAAATTTATATTTTTTTATGTATACCTTTAAGTCATGATAAAATAAAAGACAATTAACCTCAACTATGAAATGTCACGAACGTCTTACTGCTCTATTGCTATTTCTATGGTGTATGTTCTGAAAACTTCTTATGGGTCATTTCATGCCAAAATTTAATTTTCTTGGGAGCTTGAAAATAATAAAAATATGATATATGTTATTCTGCTTTTACAATTGAATATATGGTAGATGATATTCAGTTTTTGTGCATATACATATTTGTGGGGACATAATTGCTAGAGGCAATGTGTGTTTTGAGTTGTAGTTGAAGATATATTCTGGAATATAGTTTGATTTCTTTAAGAAATTGTAGGATATTATATGGATGAATGAAAGTGTTTTTATTTTATGTTGATTGATGCATTGTTGGTAATTTTATTATAAATAGGTATTGTTGGTATATTTTTTATATAAAAATGTACTGCTGGTATTTTTATACTTTCAGAGTGTTTTGTTCTTGTATGGGAGTTCACTATTTGCCTATAGCTGGGGCTCTAATAGGTGCTGCCACCCCGGATCAGAATGGACCTGGGGAACAACAGCAATTAAAATGTGGTCCCATGCTTCTCCAAACCTCCAATCCTGTAATCAGAGGCCTTGCTGCTGGATGTAGTTTATCATCATTCCAAAACTGGTGAAAGCAGAGATAGTGTAAAAATATTCAAAGCCTTATAGGCATCATATATTAAGTATCAGGGAGTACTGAAAAGTTCTAGGCCTGACCAAAAAGTCTTTTTTTTTTCTCTTAATCATTTCACTCCAAGCAAGGTAATAAAACCACTAAGATACAAGGGGTTCCTGAAAGTGAAAGAGCCTGAGAAAATACATTAAGAAGAGAGGACAAGAAAAAAAACATGATTCAAGGAGATATAAGATAATGATTGCATTTAAATTTTTGAAGATCAAAGTTGACTGGAAAGCAAGAAGCTGAAAGAGTTCCCCAAGTGAGAAGTGCAAGAGAAGAAACTGTTAGCATGGGTACATCTAGCAATTTCATCTGTAAAATGATGAAAAATAGCTGCCAAACTAGTACTGTGCTTAAATTTGTAAAGTTGAGGTGCCAAAGAGGAAAACTCATCAAAACAATAACAATGAAAGTATTTATAGAAAAAGGAATAGCTACATTATGGCAGTGGGAAAATGACCAAAGCTGAGATGCCATGTCAGGACAGATAACATTGCAGATTTGAATTTTGTCAGAAGTACCAGACCAGATGTAGAAAAAAATTTTTTTTAAATTGATGTTTGTTCAGATTTTGGAAAGTCAGTTGGGCTAAGAATTTTCCCATTCATACTAAGCAGATAAGAACAATTTAGTGTATTAATTTTTGTGACAAGGAGTTATCATTACTTATATTTTTTACTTTCAGACTTCATCTATGTTGTTGCAATGTTTCAGCTGCTGTGTCCTCTGGTCTCCTTCAGTGAATCTGGGTAAACATCAGGGGATTTTGAACTGAAACCCTTTATTTAATCTACAAAAGTAGTCAATGCTGTCCACATCTAGGGATATCTTGTTTTGTTCTAAAACTCAGTGGAAACATTTTGAGCAATGACCAAGTAGTACTAAAAAGTACTACTTGGTCATTGCTCCCAACGTTTCCACTGATTTTGAGTTTGTACAGCCTAGCCCAGGAATTGAACTCACAATTACTATATCACCAACTCCATGAATCAATACTTTAATTTTTAATGGAACAAGAACAATCTACCCCATATATTAAATAAAAGGGTTCAGTTTGAAATTCTCTGAAGGTTACCCATATTGACAGGCACCTGTAGAAGGCCAGAGAACACAGCAGCAAAAATGTTGTGATAATAGAAACAAAGATGAGGACATTAATCTAAATGTAAATAATATGAACATATGTATTAATATATAAATCCTATTAATCCACGTTAATCCTATTTTTGTGATGTCAATGAACACTCGTTTCCACTTTTGTAATGCCAACAAATGTCACTTTCATAATGCTCATGGTAGTAGAGACTTTGTAATTGCAGATTACAACAACAGTAACACTGTTGAACAATACTGGTATCAGATGTCTTCAAATAGCACACATGCTAATAGTACTTGCTCGACAAGTAACCTGTATAGTGATCTGAATAGAGAAATAGTATAGTGAATAGAGTAGAGAATAACAATACAAATAGCAATAGAGGATAGACTAGAAATAAATAGCAATTAGACACATGCTACCTCCCATATATGCATTTCTTCTATGGTCTTCACGTGGTCTACTTAATTCAATAATGGGATCACCTATGTTTGCTCACTGGCGATCTATGTTCAAACTCAAATGTCAGCAGTGACACTTTATTTCTACATAACACCTATAAAAGAATTTAAGATTTGAAACCGGAATATAACATTAAGATTTGACTTGTTCCTCTGTTAATTAATAAGTTATCATGTGTTATGCCCTGCCATTGCTTCAAATAAAAAATGGACAATTCCATTTTGATTGCAAGGAACAACAGAAGAAAAAAATACATTAGAGATGCTGTTTGGTTTTAGTGAGAAAAAGAAATCATACATAAGAAAGAAAAAAAGAAAGTAAAGATAGAGGAGGTGCTAATACTCTCATGAGTTTAATGTCGGCTTCAGTGAAATGGAAAACCTTTTTAGTTTATCTTTCCATTTGTATCCTCTTGCTTCTTTCAATAACAACCTGCATTGATACTTATGATCCTTATTGCAATATTTTGTTAAAGTTGTTAGGCTCAAATATTTAACGATGCGATAGGGGAATTTCTACAGATATTTTATTGTTGTAGAACTCAAAAGGAAGTTATTTAATTCTTAACATAAGAATTATGATTCATCAGAAAATTCAAATTTGGAAAAAAAAAAAAAAAAAAAAAAAAATGAAATTTTCACAGATACTGATCATCATAATAATTATCCAAACCTGACAATTGTACATCATACTTATTATAAAACCCAGGTTGTGTGTGTGTGTGTCTGTACGTTTACATATTGGATCGGTTTTCCTACATTTTCAACCGATTTCAAACAAAACTTCACAGGACTACGTTAAAAATTACCTTCATGTGGTTCTGACAGCGCCCGAAAATTGAAAAACACAATTGTTTTTACACAAAATCAATTTGAAAACATGATTAAGAGGCATCACGAGAATGGAAGGGGGACAACTCATATTGAGTTATACTTATTATAAAACCCAGGTTGTTTGTGTGTGTGTTCATTTATATATGGGATCGGATTTCCTACATTTTTCAACCAATCTCAACAAAACTTCACTTTTTTTTGGCAGGTAGTGTTTCTTATTGTCTTGCACACTTTTTTCTTTATTTTTACATTCAGAATGCTTTAAAAATTCCATTTACCAGACAATTGTTTATAATAAAATTCTATTCAATTGGTAGACTCATAACGATTGAAAACAATGGTTTTGTTTGAGTTTGGGTTTGACCAATTCGTAAAAAAAAAAAAAAAAAAAAAAAAAAATAATTAAGACATGCGTGTCCGTCAACCTTAAACAATAATCTTTGTCAATTTTATTTTTCAGTCTTTATGATGGTCGATACTTGATCTATCTCTTACTGTTACATCCCCGGGCAATGCCGGGCTCTACTGCTAGTTTGTGATAGCTAAAAACTTCCTTCTTACCTGATTGGCAATATAATACTCTGCTTGCTTTTGGGACTTATATGTTCCTGGAGGAGGCCATCTGTGCAAAAAAAAATTAAGCTTTTATTGACAGGATATGCAATTAGATATTGGTGTAAGTAGAGAACTATTATGATGAATTAAAACATTTCCTCTCAAGGTTTGACGTACAGGTGCATTAAAAGCAATAGTAAGAAAGAATTAATAAAGTATGTCACAAAGAACTGTTAGGACTGCTAGCTAACTATGACATACTTGGGAAAGATATTAGAATAATCCACAACCTATACTGGCAACAAATTGCCTGCATATGGATAGAAATTGAATTCAGTATATGTACAAAAATATAAATCTGTGTAAGACAAGGATGTGTCTTCTCACCAGACTTATTCAACTTATACAGTGAGGTGATTCTGAGAGGATTTTAAGTCAGCATTCATTATCGTTGGACACAATCTTGACAACATAAAATATGCAGATGACACAGTGTTGATAGCAGATACAGAAAGGAAATTACAAGAACTCCTACAGAGGGTAATGAAGGAAAGTGAGAAGAAAGGACTAAACATCAATTGAAAAAAGACAGAATGCTTTTTTGTTAATAAAAGGAACAGCTCAATATGCAAATTACAAATTGGCGATGCCAAAATCAACCAAGTACAACAATATAAATATCTATGAAGTGTTTTAACAGAGGACGAAAGTGTAACACAGAAACCCAAAGATACATTGGGATAGCAAAAGATGTCTTCCAAAATATAAGCAAAATATTAAGAAACAGAAAAATTTTGTCACAAAGAAAAGAGTATTGAACTGGTATGTAATGTCAGTCCTTGTATATGGCAGAGAATGCTTGACAATCTCCTCACAGATGAAGAAAAGACTTGAAGCAACATAAATGTTGTTCTGCAGAAAGATGCTGACAATACCATGGACCAAAAATAGTCTTAGAGACAATGGGAACAAAAAGGACACTTATACTTAACATCATGAAGAGACAGTTGCAATTTCTAGGGCATACAGAGTGCGACGGGTAAATAGTCGTCATTTTATATTTTAATTTCATGCATGCATGTTGTTTGCTTTTGATTTTGTCAACTGCACAGAAAAAGAGCACCATGATGCAATTCACTCTGCCAGAAATTTGGAAACGGTATGCTGTACTGCTTGGCATTCGTACTGGAAGCTCCAGTACACACATTTTAGTGTTTTGAATAAATTTACTCTTTAGTATTTCAAAATATTTTTTTGTAATTTTTGTAAAATACATCTGTTAAAATAAGATGTCAATGTTATTTTCATTTTTGTGTAATTTAGATGACAATTTATACATCGCACCCTGTATATGGAGGAAAGAGGGCTTGGAAAATTTGCTTACTGACAGGACAGACTGAAGGCAAGAGTGACAGAGAAAAACAACACATAACAAACCTGGCAATCTTGAGTAAATGGATTCAGAACAGGGTTTAGGAGAGATATCAAAAAGACAAAATTTATTAAGAGCTGCTACAAAGGACAGGAAATTGTGGAGCGCCATTATTATCAATGTCCTGAAGAGACATGGCAGATAGAAGAAGAAGAAAGAATTATAGTAAGCTGAGTCAAAAAATAAATTGACAAAAGGACTGATTAAACTTTTTAGACATAAGAGAAAATTCCTTGTTTAGCAGGAACATACAGAACTGAGAGAAATAGAAACAAAATAAGGAATAGACACTCAGGTAGATCTAATGCTTCCCTTATATGAAGGATGGCAAACATTAGTTTGAATCATAAATAATTTCCAAATGTTGCAATTGGTTTCCAAAAACAGAAATTATTTATTACTCAGCCTAATATATAGACAAAGTATTTTCAAGGAAATGAAAATTTGTATAAAGTTTATGTAACGAGTTGGCCGGTCAACTTGAAACCCCCAAGCGAGTGGAGGTGGGCAGGCACGGGAACTGTGATTGGTAGCTGGCTTGTTGGTGTTTTGCATAGGTGAGTTACCAAGCTCTATGTAAAGGGCTGGAATGAGAAGGAGGTAAGTTTTCAGTATCAGAAGTGGAGACTGTGTCCGTCGCTACGACAGCAGGAGAGAAAGAGACAAAATCATTTTATTTTTTCGTGACGCATTCCAACACAAGGTATTTCGGCATTTACTTTGTCTCCAGCAAGATGGCGGAAAGACCGTTCGACATAAAACTGATCTTCGAATTCAGTGGTGATACGAGTGGACAGTCTGTGGTTGAATGGATCAAAAAAGTGGAACTGGTCTGCGAATTATGCGAAATCATGAAGATTGAATGGATTCTTCCACTGCGATTGAAAGGCGGCGCCCTTGCTGTGTATAGGCAGCTAAGCAAAGAACAGAAAAGTGACATTGAGCAAATAAAGCACGCTCTACTAACCGCATTCATCCCGTGAATTTGGAACTGACCAGTTCGTGGCCTACGACCAATTCCAGGCACGGCGTCTGTGACCTGGCGAGACAGTAGACGTATATTTGGTAGAATTAAAGAAGCTCGCCATACCGATCACACCGCTTCCTGAAGAATGGATGACCTGTGCCTTCGTGTCTGGATTGCATAGTCATGTTAAGTAGATACTCCGTGCATCATCCAGAATGGAAGACATGACGCTCAATCAATTGTTGACCAGAGCCAGTGCTCTCATGATTGACGAAAGAGAGGCTGATGAACCAGTGGCCGCAGTCGTTCAGCCAATTGAAGTCAAAGAGGATCCAACCCCAGCCATACGTCGCCATGGCGATGTCACCTGCTATCGGTGCTCTGGGCCGAATCATTTTGCCAAAGACTGCTGCTATCAACACAATGCGCCTGCGGGTCAAAGCCTTAAAACCACGTTTCGATCTCTGATGTTTCCAATGTCATAAAGTAGGTCACATTGTCTCTAAGTGTCCGGAAATAGAATGGGGATGCAACGTCAGACAGTCTCTTCTCCGCACCGAGCATGAAAGAGGCGCTCCCTGTGATTAAGGTGCGTATCAATGGAATAACGCGTACCGCTTTAGTAGATTCGGGCTGCTCTCGGTCACTCACGAACGGTTCGATTTGTCGACAGTGGAGCAGACAAAAGATGGACGTACTAACGGCTGATGGAAAAGCTCTCAGAAGCCGGGGAGTTGGAAACATCAAACTCACTATCAACAATGGTAACCCCGTTACAGTCAGTGTATTGGTCGTGGACAGTGCATTATTAGGGTTTGATCTGCTTCTTGGGATAGACATTATTAAGGAGCTGGGCGGCGTACGCATCACAGAGGTGGGCGAAGTCGAGTTTTCTGATCCACCCGTCTGTGCTGCCTTGTGGATTAACGAACCTGACTTCAGTGCAACTTTCGACCAGCGCAGGCGCGTATGGACCGCAACGTGGAAGTGGGCGGGTGGACGAATGCACACACCACTGAAAAATAAAATAGCAGAGTACCCGGTTCCAGAGCATATCAGGAGCGAATACAAAAATGGATTGCAGCCAGGAAGCGATGTTCGATCCCTGAAGCAGTCTATTGGTATAATGCGACGCCTAAAGACGGTGTTTCGCCTACAACAGCACCGGCTAGCATGGTGCACGCTTACTTACGGCTGCGAGGCATTGACATTGCAATGGCTCTGAGCGACGCGCAAGCTAAATACAGAATTGGTGATGTAGTGTGGGTTAAGACCCTGCACAGCAAGTGTACTGACAAGCTTAGAATGGGGCATGTTACCGAGATTATCAGCCCGCAGTCAGTGCGGGTTGATGGCGTGACACATCATGTTAAAGACTTGCGGCCAGTTGTAGGGTTAAAACTGTCATCAGATGATGAAAATGACTCTGAAGATGGTGCGCAAGTGGTGTATTTAAAGTCGGATCCATTGAGTTTTACCTCAAACATCAGTACTCTACCTGCGGACGTCAACGTGGCCAGCTCTCCAGAGGCGGATGGTAGCTCAACGGATGAGAGTTCATCCGAGGATGAGAACCCTGTCATCCCGCTCAGGAGTGCCCGGCAGAAGAGGCCTGCCCCGAGTTGCACATTGTGCGAGCATGACAGCAAGACACGGGATGAATCTGGAAATCTGCCACCTTGGAGCAAACGAGTTCGCGCATGTGTGGTTATCCCAATATGTCAAGCGTGCAAGTTGTATATATGCGGACGCAGTCACCAGACAGACGCTACCATCTCTCGAACTGAGAAGCTTTGTGATCTTAAGATCAAAGGAGGGGCATGTAATGAGTTGGTCGGTCAACTTGAAAACCCCAAAGTGAGTGGAGGTGGGCAGGCGTGGGAACTGTGATTGGTAGCTGGCTTGTTGGTGTTTTGCATAGGTGAGTTACCAAGCTCTATGTAAAGGGCTGGAATGAGAAGGAGGTCAGTTTTCAGTCTCAGAAGTGGAGACTGTGTCCGTCGCTACAACAGCAGGAGAGAAAGAGATGAAGTCATTTATTTTTTTGTGATGCATTCCAACACAGTTTATTTCTAATTGCTAGTCAAAACAAACAGGCTAATATTTTCTGCTCACATGAAGTGGAAAAATTATATTGAATCAATTACTAGGTTTGCTGACATTTATTTATACTCTACCATTGGCAAGACTTCATGGAAACATTTTCTATTTTCTTTAAGCATTTTACTTAACAATATTGATGAACATTTCTTTTTTGTTTTATTTCTTCAGGGTTTTGCTATAACTTAAAAGACACGTTTTTAATAAATTTCCCAAGAATCTCATTTATTGACCCCCACCCTGCCATTTATGAGATTTTCTCATATTTTCCCAACATCATAATTTATTAGAATTTTTTATTTCACCAAACATTTATTACAACCTCCACCCATTTATTTAGCACCTGAATGTATCTATATAATACACTAAATATTATTTTCTGTTTGTAATATCTCTTTGCTGTACTAGAGTGATCCACCTTGAATTAACGACATGAAGTAGTAATTATTTTGTAATGACAATGGCTACTGTTTCAAGGTGTTTCCAGAAAAAAAGAAAAAAAAAAAACAATAATAATAACTGGAAAAAATGTATATTATTTACATTATTCGGACTATTGTACTCATCTTTGTCGCCATATTTATTACAACATTTTGGCCATTGTATGCTCCGGCCTTCTTCATGTATTTAAAATGTCATCATTTTTTATGTCATGTGTAACTAGTCTATAATAAAAATGGTGAGTGGAAGTCTACTGAGAAATACACCATAGACCAAAAGTTTGCGGACCCTCTGGATTATTAAGTTTCATTTCTTTTTTGGTTTAATTAAAAAATACTAAGCTAGAATGCTGAAACTATTTAACCCATCAGTGTAATTTAGAAGCTATTTAACCCATTAGTTTAATTTTCTTTTGGGGGAGGGGGTACCTAAAATTTAAGATCAACCAGCTGTAAGATTACCATTAGCCAGCAAGGTCAATTAGGCAAAAAGAACTAAAATTTTAAGCAAACTTTATGCATTAATGGATTAATTCTGTTATTACTATTAATTACTGTTATTATTATTATGGAATCATACTTATTATAAAACCCAGGTTGTGTGTGTGTGTGTGTCTGTTCGTTTATATATTGGATCGGATTTCCTACATTTTTCAACCGATTTCAACAAAACTTCACAGGACTACGTAAAATAACCTTGCGGTGGTTCTGACGGCACCAAAAATTGGAAAAACACAATTGTTTTTGCACGAAATCAATTTGAAAACATGATTAAGAGGCATCACTGTTTCGAGAATGAAAGGGGGACAACTCATATCGAGTTATACTTATTATAAAACTCATGTTGTTTGTGTGTGTGTGTGTGTGTGTGTTCCTTTATATATGGGATTGGATTTCCTACATTTTTCAACCGATTTCAACAAAACTTCATTTTTTTTTTTCGCAGGTAGTGTTTCTTATTGTCTTGCACACTTTTTTCTTTATTTTACATTCAGAATGTTTTAAAAATTCCATTTACAAGACAACTGTTTATAATAAAATTGAAAAATTCTATTCAATCGGTAGACTCATAACAATTGAAAACAATGTTTTTGTTTGAGTTTGACCAATTCATAAAAAACGAAACAAAAAAAAAAAAAACTAATTAAGACATGCGTGTCCGTCAACCTTAAACAATAATCTTTGTCAATTTTATTTTTCAGTCTTTATGATGGTGGATACTTGATCTATCTCTTACTGTTACATCCCCGGGCAACACCGGGTTCTACTGCTAGTCATTGATAAAACCCCTCAGAAAGAGAAAGCCCTTCTGGCCTAAAGTGAGCTTGTGAAAGTAACACAAAATTTTTAGGCATTTCTTTGCAATCCAAAGCTTTCAGTCTATAGTACTGTTCTGTTACCATTATTGCTATTGTTTTAATTTCCCCTTATTCATCTACATTTTAATTTAGGTACATTTAGATTAGTCAGTCTTGATGATTTCCTTTTTAGACCTTAGTAATTACAGTAACTGACACAATAAACTATAGGGTCAAAGTACACGGTTTCTACTTTCTTATCCTTCTAAATCCCCCCCCATAATAGCATTGATAACAAAAAGTAACTTTTTGACCTTTTTTTCTCTCTGCACATCAGTCTCTTTTAATATTGTATTATTTGAACATTTGTTTAAGGTAGTCACTTTGTATACTTTTATTTTTGCTGCTGTACATTATCACGTGGAACCCATTTTAACATGTGTTGACTGTCCTCACCATGTGTTACACTGTAACTTCATGTAACTTTCTTCCTTTCTGTAGACTTATCACTGCAATTCAAAACTGATCGGGTGTTGGGCTAGTGACTCCAATCTATAAAAACCTACTTGTCACAGAAATCACAGTAGCAACACTTAGTGTATTGAGGCTGGGGGGACTCTAGGGGTTGACATACATACAATGAGATTGGCTAGGCTGTGTATCCTGACAAAAAAAATTAAAAAAAGAATTTTAAATTTAGCATTTCTTTCATTTTAAGGAGTTACCCTTGGTACATACTTGCATTTATATTTCACCATTACCTTTCTATATACATATATATATAATTCCATCAATAATTTATGGGATTCTTTATTGTGATTTGTTGGAACTGGCACGATAAACCACAGGGTAAAACATATGGTTCCTAATTTCTTATCATCCTATATCACAATAGTAACACCTAGCACAGTAAGGTTGTGTCCCTATACATCAAAGGGGGCTCTACAGGACTGAGATATATGTGTATGTGTGTATATATATATATATATATATATATATATATATATATATATATATATATATATAATATAGATTGGATACATTGCTGTGCATCCAGACACATCTGACCAAAAAAAAAAAAAAAAAAACAATTTTAAACTTTGCCTTTCTTTCTTAAGGACTTGCCCTTGATATATAATTATAACACTCTTGTCTATATCTCCCACTACACATATATAATTCCCACCAATAAAAACATTACTTTTGTCCAATGAAGTCCTTCCAGAGAAATGAAACACATTACACTGAATTTTTCCACTTTGTTATTCACATGCTTAACTGTTCTGATATAGAGAAATTAGCAAACATGGATCTTCGTGTCTGCAAAAAAACATGTCAAAAGGATGGTTTTTCCCTTGAAACCACTATTATTTTAACTACCTCGTCAATGTTTATTGTTTTAAAATTAATGATTAAAATTGTAATAAAACTGAAAGATGATGAATGTGAATTTATATTTTTTTTTTCCTGAAAATTTACAACAAAAATATTAAACACTATTTATTTATTAGACTGTTTATTTACAAGAATAATTTTATATTTACAACATTCTAAAAACTAATACAATTGTATTAAAACTGCAATGCAATATTTATCATTTACCAATTTATAAAGAAATAAATATGAAAACAATGTTTTATTCATAAATTTATAAGCATTAACTAAATTATTAAAGTAGGTGAACCAACTATAAGTAAGTCTTTATTATTTACCATTTCATAAATTTAGAATCAATTGGCAGTTAGACAATGTTTTGCCACCCATTCCAATAAACAGTATAATAAATAGTGTAAACAATCTAATAATGTTTATTATTTTTGTTTTCAATTCTCAAGAACAAAGAAAATGTATAAATTCACTTTCATATGTTTAAGTTTTATTAAAATTTTAATCACTTTTTAAAACAATCATTTCTGAGGAGTAAAGGTAGTTAAAATAATAGCAGTATCAATGGAAAAACTGTCCTTTTGACACTGTTTTGTTGTAAGCACAAAGGTTCAAGTTTGCCGAGAAATTATCATATCATATATTCTTCCATATATACAATTCCTCCAAAATAAAATCCACTAATTTTGAAATGATACAGATATAATGTTACTTACACATCTGCTGTAGGCAAGTCAAAAGAGGTATCAATGGAACTAATTGAATCATCTGGATTCTTATCCTTGTCAGTAGAAACACTCATCATCTCAGCACAGAATCTGTTGAACAGGTTAACAACCTCACTCAGCGATAACATGTTGAAGGTGACCATCATTCTTCGGGCAAATAGGCCTGCAAATTAGAAGAAATATTTCAGAAAAGAAATCTTTAGAAAATCTTAATGAAACTACCTTAATGAAGAGGCTTTAATTAAATTTCTGCAGGATTGAGAGATTCCTTCCTGCCTTCAATCAGCATGGCTGATGCTAAACTCCAGGAAAATGACCCATTGCGCCTTCTTGAGCTGACATTTTCTGCTGACATGAATAGAAAGATTATATTGAATCAATTGCAAGATCTGCTGCTATGAATGTTGGTTCACTATGTAATACCAGACAATTTTTCTCAACAGAACCTATCTTACATATTTATAAGTCTACTATTTGTTCTTGCTTTGAATATTGCTGCCATATCTGGTCTGGTGCTCCTGCTATATATTTAGAGATTCTTGATAAAATCAAAAAAAAAAAAAAAAAATCTGAAATGTTAATGGTCCTGACCTGGCATCTCAGCTTCAGTCACCTTCCCACCATTGTAATGTAGCTTCCTTGTGCCTCTTATATAAATACTTTCATGGTAACTGTTCTGATGAACTTTCCTCTATAGTACCTGGGCTTTATGTAGTACTATATTGGTGGCAAGGTCTCAGCCTTTTACAGTTGAAATGCCTAGATATAATCATAAGTTCTATGCTAATAGTTTCTTCGATCACACCTCTTGCTTGTGGAACTCTTTTCTAGCTTCTTGCTTCCCAAAAATTTAAAAGCAATGTCGATCTTTTATCTTCTTAATTCCTGTTCTTTTATTGATCTCCTTAATTTTTTATTTTTTTCACATATTTTCTAAGATTCAGTAACCCCCTTGCATTTTAGTGGCTTTATTGTATTGTTTGGTGGGGAAATGATTAGAAAAAATTTAGAAGGTAAGTAATATTATCTGCATCTTAGTAGACAATTATAACTGATAAAATTTGTGAATTGTTAATTGTTGAGTGCTGAAATGTTATTGATATGACCAATAAGAGGAAGAAAAAAAAAAAAAACTCTGGTCAGATTTTGGGAAGTCAGGCCAAACACTTTTCAGCAATCCTTTGTATACATATATCACTGAATATTAGGACAACAGATTCATTATCAAGTGTGTCTTTAAATATGACAGAAAAGGAGGGTTTTTTTTGGGGGGTTTTTTTTAGAGTAACAATGCTAACAGATTTCAGAATATAGACTAAGTAACAGTTCAGTCAGTCAGTTATGTGCCATGTGTGATACATGCTTAGGCAATCATGTATCTTTCAATACATGACTGACGTGGCAGATTTTGTTCCCGCAGTAGATTGCCATTTCTTTCTGCTGTAGACCGGCTGCCATCCAAGGCTACAGAACCCAGTCTGTTCTGCTATTTACCCATAGCTGGGGAGAGAAGAGGATTCATACCTTTCCCAAGGGTATTAGCACATAATGGATTCACCTGGAATTTGAACTCTGCTCTCCTATTCCTCAATCCAAGTCGCTATCCATTACTCCACCGTGCCTCCTTATTGCAAATGACTGATAGTGAGTGCAATTATTACTGAATGCTCCATAATTTAATCAATCAATGCTTGACATGAAATTTCCTTATTATTTGATAAACTACATCAGTTCCATTCTTGAATTTAAACCAGTTTATAATCAAATATCAATGTGCTGGTGATTCTATGCATAGAGGCTTGGAAAGAAAAACTGGCAAGCTGCGTTTGAATTCCAATCGAAATAATTACATTCACTTTTGCACAAATACTCTTAGGAAAGATATGACACCATCTCTTCTCCCCCTCAGCTATGGGTTAAAATAGCAAGGCAGACTAAGCTCTCTAGCTGTAGTTTGCAACCAGTATAGGAAAACTCTGAATTCAAAAATCATATGTTACCCTAGGGATACTTATTTGAATTGCATCTAAAGTCGGCTCAGCATAGTTGCAATAAAATCCACAAGTTTCTCTCTGAGTATTGAAGAAACACAAATAGGCCTGAGCCCAAAAAACAAGCAGCCATGCAAAAGATGAGAAATCACACTGATTTGGAGTATGCCTGTAAGTCATAAAAATACTTCTGATGACGATGAGAAATAATTCAGTTTGGTCTTAGTAGAAAATAAAATGAATCTGTCATTTAAAAAGAAAGAAAAGAGGATGCAGATATCTTAGTCAATTCTTTATAGTCATTTACATAACAGAATGAAAATTTGATTGGTTGATATATTTTCTAGAAAATATTTTTAGATTGTAACAATTTTTTTTCTTAAAAATAAAGGTTTAGTGATACACGTCTTACTAATTAACCCATAGCTGGGGGAGAAGAGGTATTTGTGTATAAATGAATATAAAAAAAAACAACAGGACTTGAAACTTGGCTATCCAATTAACAATTCCAAGCCATTATCCATTACACCACCTGCAGATCCACACTTACAGCATCTGTTATTTGCAAGTGGTCACCTATTTAGGTACTGACTAGGCTCGACTGGTTAACTTTGGTGATCATACAGGAACTGGGCTTTCAACATGATGCGGCCATAAGCCCTAGAATGAAAAGTACCATACATTCTGGAATAAATGTAAATTTGGCAATGGTCATCAGATGACCAATGTTTCAAATATTGGGTATTTAGGTGCTAGTCTACAACTGGTAAATCTCCACCCCAAGGCCTGCCTAAACATAATCACTAAAGTATTATATACAACATCATTTTTTTAAGTTTCTTTTTTTTTAAAATATGGCAGGAAATACAATAATTTTATCTTTCTCTTTTGTCAGTAACTTACCAAACAATGATGATTTGTGCATTAAAGTCTCTGAAAAGTGTAAGAAATCTTCTTGAAATTGATTGAAGAATTCATTCAGTGCCCGAATACCTCCTTTGGCAATAAACGACAATCTAAAAAGAAAGAAAAAAATGTTTCCCAAAATGGTAACAGCAGAAAAAATGGCAATGAAGTAGACAATTTCTTTTGGGTAAAAAATTAAAAAAAAAAAAAAAATTGTATTGTCAACTAAGTTGATTAACAATAATAAAATGAAGATTCATTTTAAATACTAGTTTTTTAAATATGAATTTTATCAAATGTAAATTATATGTAATAATTATATGTATAATATTCACATAAATAAGGTTAACATTCATATGAATATTATACATATCTCCAAAGAAGTTTCGATAAATTCAACTGACAAGATCTATTTCACATTTTATTATATTATTTTCCAATTTTTGATTAAATTGTTGTACGTCTAAATCAAAATTGTGGATAAACTGTCCAAAGATCATGTTTTTGTTTTGTTATTGTTTAAGTAATTTAATTGTCTCAGTTATTACCAAGAATTGAATGTTATTGGTATGGTAGACAGAATTTTGTTGGTTATATCCTAGTATTTTGGAGGTATTTTGCAACACTGGAATTCAAATTAATCCAATGTGATGTCATGTGTAAAGCAATTTCATGGAGCTAGACCACATCATAAAAGAAGGTATCAAATATTTATAGGTTTTATTATTATTATTTTGTGAGTATATTAAATATTTCATGCACACTTGTGGTGAAATATATTTTATTTATGCAGTTATGTACTAGCCACAAGTTTTCTATTGGATTAAGGTCCAGACTCATTGCAGATGTTGATCTTGTCTTTGAGCCAATTTTTCACCAGTGTACATATATATTTAGAATCATTATCATGTTGGAAAGTGAAATGCTGTCTTCCAAAACGGTAACTAGCAGAAAATTTCAGATTTTTCTTTAAAATATCATTTAAGTCTTTTTCCTCTATCGCTCCAATGATTTTAAATAAGCCTGTTCTCTTTCCACTATAACAATCCCAACACATAAGATGGATACCCCGTGTTTTAAATTAGGGATAGTGTTCCTAGGGTTCATAGCATCTCTTTTCCTCTACTGACCAAACAATTCAGTTTTTTGTCTTATCATTCCATAAAATCAAGTTTCAAAAATCATTTTTTCTCCAAGTAGATGCGTACAAATTTTCAAGTGGGCCTTGCAATGAGTACTTTTGAGTAAACGTATTTTTCTTGAATGGTAACTACTGAGAACATGTTTATTACTTAGTCTACTGTTCCACTTTTCACAAAATGTACTGATTCTAGGTAGATGTGTTACACTAGACAAGGTAAAATGAGAATTATAATGAAAATTCTTGAAACGTTATTTTTTAATTTTTCTCAAAACAAAATCTTAGCAAGAATGATTAGAGAGCGTGACTTAGTGAATGTAATTTAAGACCCTGCAGTACTAGTATGAACTTTGGTCTGAAACAACCAGAACTGAGTAGGTATGGTTTGAAACCTGTGGGTGTGAAATTGTGACAATGGACTGTATTTGCCTGAGCTTTGATATAAGAGTGCACATTACATTAAGAATGCATAAAAACTAGGTGTCCTGTTTCAGCAGTACAGAACACTTAATACTCAACCACCAAGTCATCCTCACCCAGATTAATTTGCATACCCAGGGAAACTTGAACAAGAATCATAGTACGATGAAGATTTGAAGCAGCGATAATATTACTCGTGTAGAGAAGATAGTAACCTACCGACATCCACTTTCCCTTTCATTCAGTTGTACACACTACTTCCAAGAAATGACAACTACTATGTCTTTCTGTAGTGATATATAAATGTCTGCCTAATTAGCATATCTAAGGCATAAATTATATAAATGCCCAAGCAGTAAAGGTAGAACAGCTCTTAGTATGTGAAATAAACAACTACTGCTGGGCTGATAAAATATGAAGGAAATCACACTTCATAACACCCTCCAAAAATAAAGTGAAGCAAAAAAAAAAAAAAAATTAGAGGAAAACTGGTTGTCATTGATGCAGTGTTGGGTTACCAACTGAGGAATTGCAGATAAGCAACCACAATCCAGAGACAACAATCAATGCAACAGAAATGTCAATCCCTATGTACATAGTCTCATCATTTTTTAGAGTTATTATGTTAATGCTCCAGATCTTAATATAAATAATGTGAATTCCAACAACAATAATATCATGTATATAATGACAAAAATAAAAAAATGTAATAATTCACCAACCTTCGGTGGAATCTATCACCCAGCTTCAAATTGATCACTTTCTTCACAAGAGGAATAAGATCACGCAATGCTATTTCAGGGCCCTGACAAGAAAACATATATTTAACAGGTATATAAATATTATTTAAGGAAAAATAAATTATCTTTAAATTTTATCTTTAAAATATTTAAATAATAATGGTATTAGTAAAAATAGCCATGAAAATAAAAAGCGAAATAAATTTTTTAAAAAAGATAAAATTTAATTCACTGTAGACATTACGGCAGAAACCTACTACTTTAAGAAATAATCATTTTTTTGGCAAAATGATTTTTATAATCATATCAATAAAGTGCTCCAGATCATAAATATAAAACAAATTTATTAAATTTTCAAAATTTTAAGAGGGGATTCAATTTGTATTGTAAATTGATCCAGTAGTGTGAGTGGCCATGGTTAAATGTAAATTAAATGACAGAACTGTCCAACAAATAGAATTGACAAAGTCTGCAATAACAAGAAAAAGAAAAGAACAGGGCAAAAAATAATATAAAGCAAGCAAACAATATATGCAAGGCAAAAGCAACAGTAATATGACAAAAAGTTCACAAACTAAGAATTGGGATTGACACAAAAGAGCAAATATGGACAGATGACATTAGCATTCTGACTTCAAGATAAGACAGACCGAGACTGAGTCAGATGAAACCAAGAACTGGCCTATTTTATTGCATAGGAAGAATTCCCAGCATGCATTTGTGTGCTTCTGCCTATAAATTGAGGAGGGAGAAAATGTTTTGCAGTCATACCAAATGGGATTGGAACCAAGAGATCCCCCCCACAAAATATGCTTTAAATTCATATTTTGTGTATGTTTTGAAATGTTGCAGGAGGGCTCAGCCAGATAATTTTTCATGACATCTTGGGAAAGAAAGCTTTGAGCTGTCATACCCAATTAAAGAGTCATTCTTCAAACTCCCAGCTCATCATCATATATCACTACATAGACTAAACAAATGGTTCATGGAATTGGAAATAAAGTGAAATTTTAACACTGCCTGGGTTAACCCAGTGTTTTCTCTGGGCTGCATTTTTGAAATTAAAATTTGCTGGCGCCTCACCAAATTTTATGTGATAAAATATACATTTGAAAATAAAAATCGGAGAGAGTGATAACTGCAAATTTGAAGTTAGAACATTATCATTGATAACTCTCTCCTCCAATTTGCAAACCTTAGTTACTATATTCTTAATAGTTGGTATAATGCAAAAATATCACAATGATAAAATCAGTCAATAATTATTTATAACTATTTATACTGAGACTCATGCATGCAATTACAAGTCATCCATAATAATATTTTTAATTTTGAAATCATTTTTATTTTTGGCATATGACTTTTTTGAAACTGTAAATCTTTGATTATCTTTCAATCATTCTGTCTCACCTGCTATCTTCTTCTACCGCACTTATGAGGTATACATCACCATTTGGGAACCACTGCCTTAACCTTTCTTTATAATTTTATAAAGATTTTAAAAAACTTTTTAAAACTGCCTTTGATTTTATGTTTATGAGAATTGCTCTATGTTTGTGGGTATATATCTTAAAGCAGGATCCATGAATGTGAAGAAAAAAGAATCAAACCTGATAGAGTTCTAAAATGAGCGTCAGAATGGCCTTTACTTCATAATCTGTAAAATCCATCTCGACACTCAATTCCAAATTTTGTCGATACTGCTCTGGAATTTGGGATTTCTTCTCATAAGCATTGAGGAATTCATAGAGGAGTGCAAGAAGTGCTACTTTGTGTGAAGTGACTTGTTCTTTTGATGGCCGCTTACTGGCTGGCTCAAACATAAACAAATCTGAACCAGATGATACATAAGACATGTTGCTGCTGCAATGGTGCCAATACCTGATTTACAAAAGAAGAAAAAAAAAAAAGAAAAGAAAATCAAATTATTTCAGTCTGAAAATATATATATATATATATATATATATATATATATAGATAGATAGATAGATAGATAGATAGATAGATAGATAAAATAAATGCAAATGCCTGTGTGTCACTGTCACACTTTTTCAACTTTACTCCTAGAAGCTGTAGACCAACATATCATACCATTTTGGAGTCAGGCCAACTCTGTAAGCAAATTAAAAATATTCCAGACCGGATCCAGACCCGCAATTCTGAAATTTCAGATTCCCAAGTTTTCATTACTGTGAATGTTTTCAAATTCTGCCATCTTGGCTTCTACTGATAAAACAATTAAAGGGACACAACTCTCTAGCTCATGTTCAAATGGAAGAAGTTACTTTTCTCAAATTATGGTTTTTCAAAATAAAATTGTCCATGTTTTCAACTTTACTCCTAGGGGCCATAGCACAACATATCATACCATTTTGGAATCAGGCAGACTCTGTTAACAAACTAAAAACATTCCAGGTCAGATCTAGACCTGCAATTCTGAAATTTTGGATTCCCAAGTTTTCATTACTGTAATTGTTTTCAGCAATTTTATGTGATTTTTTGCAACAAATTTTTTTTGTACAATAAAATTTTTTATAAATTTGGGAATAATCAAAATTAATTGCAAAATCCAGTAAAAGTCACCTATGAAATAAAAATTTGTTTGTACAGAAAGTAAAGACCTACGTACATCAAATTATCTTTAAATTAAGTGGTGTCAGAAGAATTACCATTGAACTTTTAAAAGTAAACTTAAATATTAATGCAATACTTAAATGCAGTGATCAATTTTGAGTTCTGTAGTTTATTGTTGCCTATCACATCTACTCCTCCTTAATTATTGTAATGAAGGCCCAATCAAGAGCCCTTTGCAGGAGCTAGCTTAAATGCTGCTCAATTATTCAGCACTCTTTATCTTCCTAACTTAAGGTAAATTTCTTAATATTTTATTTTTGTTGACTTGAATGTTCCCTCCCCCAACTCCACTTTATTCTACTTTGATTAAAATTATATTCAGCACTTTATTAAGCTTGAAAAATATCTTCCAGATAATGCAGCTGGTCTATACTATTTCCATAATTTCTCTCTCACATGTATGTATATACATTGTACATTGAGTACTGATGTTATTAAAATAGTGCTTGATGCAATATAACAGAGCTATAAACCATATATAAATATTAAAAATTAAAATCAAAACTTTATCAATAATAAAATTAATTAATAATACATACACACACACATATATATATATATATATATATATATATATATATATATATATATATATATATATATATATATATAAAAACAGGTTTTGTTGAACAATAGTGATAATCCCTGCCTGTCTTCCACATCTTTTCTCCAACTTCCAACTAAGTTGTTTTATAAAACTGGTAAATTTTACAAAATTCATTTTTGTTTTTTGAAACTTGGGCAAACACATTTTCATCAACAGACAAAAAACAGAATTCTTGATAATGACTGTAATAAAAATCAAAAGTACTCATATTTAAGAAAAAAACGAAAACAAACTTTTGAAGTTTTACTGTACAAAACAACTTAGCTGGAAGTTGGAGAAACTTGATAAAAAATTGGACACACAGACCATGTCAGTATTGTCCGACAAAACTTGTTTAAAAGAATTCTTGCTATCTAAATACATCATATATATAATATATATATATTAGGTTGGTGCAAAAATAATGTCGTTTTTGACATTCAACTTCAAAAGAGAAAACAACATTATTTTTGCACCGACCTAATATATATATATATGTATATATTGCTCTATTTAGTGTATTGAGCACTTTTACTTAATTTACTCAGTGTTTTTTCTTTTGACTAGGTATTGTGATGCTGATTATTTTTTACCAACACGTATGTCTTTAGTCTTTTCTTTTTTTATTGAATTTTTTTCCCCGATATCGTTGTTCAAATATATTTCTATTTATAAATTGTATTATCTGTTTTTTTTCACACCACCACGTGCATATATATATATTGCGTGTATGATGGTTAGCAAGTTGGAACAAGAAATCAATAAGCTGAGTTCAAATTGCAGTTGAATTTATTAAATTCACTTTCACACAAATATTTTTAGGAAAGGATTGAATCCATTTCTTCTCCCTCAGGTATAGATTAAATAACAGGGCAGCCATGGTTTGCAACCAGTGTAGAAGGATAACTTTGAATTCAAAACCCAGCTACCTGAAGCTGTACAGAGATGGTTAGATATGGTGTGCAAATACTATGTTTGTAAAACAAAAACACAATAGATTTCAACAATTATGGATGACCCCACTGGAGAGCAATATCCAGAGATATAAAATTGAAGTACCAAAAGAACTATAGACAGTTACCTGATCATCACCTAAATAATAGCTATGCAATGTGGCATGGTGCAATCTTTTTTGATATTATTGTTCATCCAATGCAATGCCCAAGAGCCACTCAAGATAGAGGGTTACTGTAAGAGATTGTTGTAGGGGTGTAACTAGAGTAGGAAAAGGTGCATACAGTGTAACCCGGATATAAGAGTTGTCGGTGCCGGAGAAGAAGTCTCTTATATCCGGGTTTGGTCTATTTTATATACATTAACACAGGCTCTAATTTGGGACCAGAGAAAAATCTCTTATATCCGGGTTTCTCTTATATCCGGGTTACACTGTATTATGAAAATAGATAATGTTTGACTTCTGACTTTAAGAGATTAAGACTGTAATAGTCAGGGAAGCATCCTCTATAAAGTTGTTCCACAATGTGACAGTTCTGGGGAAAAGAGATGTATATCATGAGGATATGTCTGATAGATATTGGTTAATGCTAGAATTGAAAGGGCATGTCGATCCAGGCGTGTTCTTAGCTGTGCATACTTGAATTATATTTTGGGATGTAAATGAGAAGAATTTAGTGTGATCTCCAAATAGTTCCATACAGGCTCAATGGGATTTTAGATCTGGTGAGTATAGAGGATTTGAAAGTCAGCTGAATGTGCCTATAACAAGTTGCCGGTCATTTGTGCATGATGAGGAGTGCATTATTCCTAAAACAAACGATCATTGCCAGGAAATATAGCACATATAAAGGGGTGCAAATGGTTTGCAAAAAGATCTGTATATGTCACGATTGCAAAAACAGATCAGTTTCACTGGCAAACTCCAACAGAATGTATATCACACAATTACAAAGCTTAAGTTAGCTTGCACAATTCCCTGCTGACAGGCTGTATTCACCTCATGAAGTCTCTATGTAAAAATTTTATCATCTGCTCAAAAAAAAATGCAGCTTCTCAGACCAGGCACCAATTTCCAGTCAAATTCTCTGCCAACTTCCCAAACCTTTGCAGCCAAGACTTGCCTTGCTGCATCCACAGAGGTGAATCATCCTCATACCCTATGTATTCCTTTGGCAAGAAGAATCTTCCACTCAAAAAGATTCTTCCCAAGAACCCCTATTTTGAGTGATGTGTTTTCAACAGCTTATCAACCCACTGCAGGTTATTTAAAAACAGAAAATATTTTTAGATTGTAAAAATTTATTTTGAGATGATAATGGTTTAGTGATACAAGTCTTACTAGTTAACCCATAGCTGGGGTAAAAAGAGTAAGTGAATATAACAAACCCAACAGAAATTGGAACTCTGTTCTCTGATTAACAATTCCCAAGCCATTAACCATTACATCACCTGCACATCCAAGCTTACAGCACCTGGTATTCCCACACTACTTTATGGAAGAGACTCCCACATAAATGCTACTCTGAGCAATAATCTTAACCTCTTCAAGTCTGGGATCAATTGTTACCTATCCACCATATCCTCACAATCTTTATTTTCTTCTCTTACAAATCTTATATTCAGTAATCCTCTATCTGTAGTGGCTCTTGAGCATTATATTACGGAAACTTTATAATAAAAAAAAAAATAAAAGAGAAAAGAAAAAAAAAGATGATCCACAGTAAAACCAATGGTTTAGTATCAATACCTTTGTTAACTGATAACTATGAAATATAGTGTACAACATACAATGCAATAACAGAGAAAGAGAGTCATATCTTTCTACCTGTAACAATCATTCTACAATCAGTGTTGGGTTATCTGAACACCCATTTTAACAGAATGCAGCAAAACGCACAAACTTAAAGTGGCCATACCTAGAATCAGAGGTAAGGTGCAAAAATAAATTGGTCTACTTGGCTTTTTCCCTTTTGTGAACTCTTTAGGTGTCAGATAATGACCTTAGATCACTTCTTTGGGAGAAGGCCTCGATGGATGAGACTTAAATAGGTAATTCTGTGCCTAAATGCCAAAAGGCTAAGAAGCAATCAAATGGTATTAAATTTTGTTTGTATCACATAACTGCCACAGCTACACTACATTATGTCCCAAATATATCATTTGGTTGAGTTCATTTAAATAAGTGGAATTTATTGATTGATTGATTTGTTTAGTACAACTTAACTCTTTGTAGGTTATTTAAAGCTGAAAGATTTTGTTTTATTTTAGATTGAAAAAATAATTTTTTTCCCATGTGAATATGGCACTAATGTCTTTTTTGGAAATAATGATTTTTTTCAGATACAAGTCCTACTATTTAATCCATAACTGGGGGAAAAGAGATAGATTTGTACCTTTTCCAAGGGTATTTGAGCATTAGAGAATGTAAAAAAATTCAACCAAAATTTGAACTTGGTTCTTGAATTTCTCATTCCAAGGCACTATCCATTATACCACCTGCACATCCCCTGTGGGTGGGAGAGAGCAAAACTGTCCCTAATTTCTGGTATTTCATACACACACACAAGAATAAAAACAAAAGGAAAACTTTTCTTTACCAAAATGTTTTGTCCTTTGATGGACTTTATAAAGGCAAATGTAAGGATTTTAATTTGCAACAAGTATTTATAAACACAAATAAAAATGTTGATAATTTTAAAAAATTTTTAAATTTAAAAATGCTCATATTCTTCTATAAAGTCAGGGTAAAACTATAAAAGATGCTAAGTGATGTAATTTAATGCCTAACATAGGAAAGTGAGTAAATGTTCATTATTTACATTATTTGGACTTCTTGTCTTCATCTTTGTCGCCATATTTATTACAACGTTTCGACTATTGTACACTCCAGCCTTCTTCAGGTGGTTGTAATGTCGAACTGAACCCTTTATTTTGCTCATTGGGGTAGACTATTCTAGTTCCACTTGCCATGTTTAAAGGATGTCAGTTATCAGTTCTCCTGTTAATTTCCCTCTGAAAGTTCTCCACTGCCTTAACCAGGTATTGAACTCACACTTCCTGTCACTGGATCTAACGCCTTTATCCACTGTGCCATGTGTCCTCGCAAGGACACAGAGCACAGTGGATAAAGGTGTTAGATCATAAATAAAGGATCAGTTCAACATTACAACCACCTGAAGAAGGTTGGAGTGTACAATGGCTGAAACATTGTAATAAACATGGAGACAAAGATGAGGACAATAGTCCAAATAATGTAAATAATGTACATAATACCTCATCTCAGAAATATAGACAGATACTGAGTAAATGTTATTTGCCTTGTTAAAAATCATCAGAGGTCGAAATGCATTGGTAAAGAAAAGTTTTCCTTTTGTCTTTATTCATAGATTTTTTAGATATATTTTTAGTTATATCTGAATTTTTAGACACATGCACCCATAAATATAGCATACCTTAAAAACTATACTTTATCATATATGTCATATTATGTCACATCCAGTACATTTTTACAGTTATTTTGCCAACACTATGGATGCCATGCATAGTGCCAAACCTGTTCAAAAATACCTGAACTCTCAGTTGTATACAACCCCTTTCTAAGATCAATGGTTAAAAATGGTCAGTGAAGTCTGTGAGTCTTGGTAAAGACCATCTTTCTTCAAACATTATGGACTGGTGCTACAGAATCACAAAGAACTGTGTCAGATAATAAAAATCCCATCACTTGAGGACTTTTAACAACAACTAAAATGGATATCACATGTAACTCAAGAAGAAAATAATGACATAATTAAGATGTTGACATTCCACACTACAAATAAAAGGTTAAGAAGGAAACCCCCATCAATACTGGAAAGAGTGATAATAGCTACTGAACTTGAGAAATCTATTTTCCTGAGAAATGGTTTTAAGAGAAAGATTTGATAAATTTGAACCAAAAGCAGCACTGACTGCTTGGTCAATGAATGCCAAAGGTTTCCTTATAAGGAAACAGTTCATATTATCATTGCTATTTTACAATTATTCACAGACCTGTACAATAAAAATTCATCATACATATTAAAAGAAAAAAAATGTGGTCGAAGATTATTCTTAAACATGTGGCATCCATCAATCACGAAAGCCTATGGATCTGCACCCAAAGATTTATGTCTCAGCTGCTGATAGCAGCGCATCATGGCTATACAGGCCCACATGGAAGTGAATCCCGATTATAAAAGATTATTCACTACAATATATAATTTATTTATGGAATAATTACAATGAACCTCAGAACTGTAGCAAACCTTTTTTTTTTTTTTTTTTTTAAAAAAAAAAAAAAAAAAAAATAATAATAATATTCTTACTTACAGCATTAATTTGTTTTCTATAGTTTTTTTTTAGTGTTGTACAATACTGATATTTTAAAATAATCTTTTTTTTTTAGATTACTAAGCGCTCCGGATCACGAATACAATACTAAAGAAAAATTTTTTTATTAAATTTTAAAAGTTATTGCGGGGAGTGGGTAGTTTGCTATGTAAATTTATTGTTAGTAAAATTAAAAATAAAATTTTAAATTAACCCCGACCCTACGAAAACCAAAAAATATACACATACCACATTTCTTTTTTAAAAATTATTATTATTTTTTTTTGTTTTTTTAATTCCTAATTTGGAGTGCTTTAATCGATAAGAACTTTACGACTTTTTTTTTTTTTTTAATTTTAAGAATTCATGTTTTAGCTTTCGTAGAGGGATTATGATTAACGAGTACACAACGAATTTTTACTTGGCAAACTGAACCCAATATTTAATTAACTTTTATGAGATTTAATATGTTTTATATTCGTGATCTGGAGTGCTTCATAATATGAAAAATATTTTGAAAAAAAAAGACTATTTCTGGTCGCAATACCTTGTTATTATTTCAAATAATTTTTTTTTTTACTGTTCAAAAAGAAATCGCAATTGCACTTTTTTCTTTCTACTCCTTTCTAAACAAAGGTTTTAAGCCGTTCTAGTATCAAGTATCATTGTTTAAAATTGAATTGAGTGACATGAATCAATGAAATAAAAATGATTAAGAATTTTTTTAAACGTTGCCTTGTGTTAAGTAAGCTTCAATTTCGAGGGTACTTAAAATAAAATGAATTAATTAATTCGTTTTACTTTTTAATTCATTCAAGAAGGCAGTAAAAGCACAAAACAAAATTTAAAAAAGATAAAATTTTAACTTTACCTAGAGTAATGATGGATGAAGGAAAAAGATTTTTTTTAACTGTTTTTAAAGCAAGAAGGAGAAATAAAACAGAATGATGATTGATACACACAAAGCAAAGGAAATGTTTTAAATCCAGATCATCAAACCCGAACCGTTTTTTTCCATATTATTTGAGCATTTCTTCTTTCTTAATAATTTCTTGAGCTTCTCGTTGAAGCTTTTCCAATTTGTCTAAAGTGACAGATTTGAGGGGTAACAGTTTCGGCTTACAGAGCACGGCAGCCGGGAGACAACGATCGTAAACTCTTTCTTGTTTTGGTAAGACCTCCTTCAATATAACACCACTGCCACCGGTTGGACATTCAGTCGACATATTGAGAAGAGAATGAAGGCTTTTTATTTATTTACTTTTTTTTAAATCACCAAAAACAAAATTTCTCTTCTTTTGTTTTTTTAAGAAAAAAACTTAACACCGTTTTCTTTCATAAACAAGACAATTATATTGGCTGTCACTTTAAATTAAAAAAATTGTTTTTACTGAAAACTACTTTTTTGTCTATTATCCTCTTTCTTCTTTCGAAGATACTTTAAGCAGCAAACAAAAATTAAATGAATAAATAAGATGTCTTTTTCAAAATAAAAGAAAAAGAAAAAAATAGGACGAAAAAAATCCGACAAATATGTATTCCAAAGTCAGATCCTCTCGACAAGAACGTACATGTTTACACTGCGCGCCATGCTGTTCACTCACTTCCGGTTGTTTTGAAAGGGTTATTTCCCTTTAGTCAGTTTGTTAATATGTTCATTATATTCTAACCAAGTCCAGAAAAAAAACTTTGAATTTAGTTATCTTTATTTAGTAAAATATAATTGTTAATGTTTTAAAGAGAGTTTTTATAATCATTTTTCTTATTTACTTTGATCATCACATCTATGTACATCTTAATTGATTTTCACTCGGTATTTGCACGATTCTTCTCAGTAAAATTTAATTGGAGGGATTTTAACGCAGGCTTATCATCTCTCAGTTGCATCTCTGTCCTTGGACAGAGTGCGCCTAGGGGCTTCTCTGTCAAAGGACAGAGGGACAACTGAGGAAAATTATACTGAAGAGGTGCCAAGCCCTGGGGAACAGCTGCCCGAGGCCGCGCCCTCCCATTGAACAAGAGGGAGGGATCAGTGCTCACACCGAGGCCAGCGCAACCGACGGTTGCGGGGGCTGAGGAGAATTTTTGTCCCTGTCTGAATGTACGTGTTCGGGTCCCCACATTAATCCAACCTTGTGTTACATCTCATTCACGTGGGGGAATGAGTAAACACCGTAAAATTTAATTGGAGGGATTTTAACGTAGGCTTATCATCTCTCAGTTGCGTCTCTGTCCTTGGACACAGTGAGCGCGGGGGCTTCTCTGTCAAAGGACAGAGGGGCAACTGAGAAAATAATACTGAGAGGTGCCTAGCCCTGGGGAACAGCTGCCCGAAGCCGCGCCCTCCCATTGCACAAGAGGGAGGGATCAGTGCTCGAACCGATGGTTGCGGGGACCGTGGGCAATTTTTGTCCCTGCCCGGGTGCTTGCCCTCGGGTCCCCACATTAAAAAGACCTTGTGTCACATCTTGTCCTTGTGAGGGAATGAGTAAACACCATAAAATTTTATTAAATTTATTATTATTATTATTATTTTACAATGATGTTTTTTAGTCTGTACAAAGCTCAAGAGACACTTAAGATAGAGAGTTACAGAATGAGAGGCACATTTTATGGGGATGTGTGGGAAAGATATGGCTTAACCCTAGACTTCAACAAGTTAAGATTGTAGCAATCGTGGAAGCATCCTCTTGTGAGTTGGTTCCACAAAGTGGTAGTTCATGAGAGGAAGCTACTTGAGTGAAAGTTACCTCACCAACAGAATATGAAGAGAATGAGGGTGGTTCGCTACAATGTGGGTGGCATGAAGGTTAGAACTGCTGAAAGGAAGAAATGTAATTTGTCTGAACACTTTCCAAAGATATAACAATGGAGCAGTGATAGACTTGCAGGAGGTTGCAGGGTGGAATATAATTCATCACCCACAAGAATGTGGAATGCTTTTGGGCTCTATTGAGATTGGAAAGTGAAAACTGTGGAGTTCCTTCCCATATATGACAGCAGTACTCCATTTTCTGCCTGATCTAGCTCTTGTAAAGGTAAAAGAGGAGTCAGGTACTTACTGAAGCGGTATGGGAAACTGACCATTTTTCCAGCATCTTTAGTATTGGATCATTTGTATGAGTTCCACTTAAGGTCTGGGTTGAGTTTAAATTCCAATAGGCACTCAAAGCACAAGGAGAGAACACCCATTCATCACTGGAAGAGCTGTTATACTCTTCTTCAAATTAGATCTCTTTTTGATTCACTCTACATGTCAGCCAGATGTGAACACTAAGAAAGCAAGATAAAAAATAGTAGTCTTCTGTGCAGGGGCTCTGAGCATCACATCCAACTCACAAAACAAATCCCCTCAAAAAATATAAAATACAACATAAAAGAAGCCAATCATAAACATTGCTGCTAAATAAAAAAAAATACACACACACACACACACACACACAGATGTGCTTAGGGGGCACCACATTTGCTTTTAAGCAATACACACTCATAAACAACTGAGACAGAATTGCGGCTAACAAGCCAGCTCTTGATGCCTGGCAAGGTTTTAGCATCATTACCCATGACCTCAGTCAACTGACCCAACAAATACATCCACTCCAGTCCCAACCAACTCTACCCTTCCTCCAAACTGCTTCCTTTGTCCATGAAGAGGCAATCTGTTGACTTCCTCTGTATCAGCAATACAAACAGTTTTATATTAACAATTCTTGTCTTCTTTTCTTCACCAGTGGTACTTGTCATTTTGTTTGTTATTTTGTACTACCATATGTATGTTTATAACAAATGCGACAAGCCAGTTTTTCTCCCACCGAGCTGTTAAAGCTAGGTCAGAGGAGAGATCAGCTGCCAAACTCTGATCATCTACAATTTTGGAGGCACATCCATATACCATTGTATCATTAGCATAGATATTCACAAATGATCAGGGTATACACTTAGGTAGATCATTTATGTAAAGTAAAAGAGGGTTGATCTGAGAAGTGACTCCTGGGGATGTGTGCTGTATATGGAAGAAAACCTTCAGAAGTGAATGTGCCACAACCACTCAAACCCAAACTGAAAAGATGACTTGTTGTCAAGATATGGGAAATGGAGCAAGAACAGTCTTACTCAATTGTTTAAATAAAAATTCAGTTCAGTATACTCTTAGGCAGATTATAAATAAAAAAATGGGGACCTCCAAATTGATAAATAATTTAATAATTTGTAAAGAGGTTTCACTATATCAGACTAAATTGTAGTGAAAGAAATTAGGTTTCTATGTTTGGTAAAAAGAAATTCTACTCATTTAATAACAAAACAGCAAGCCTATGAGTTCATAGAGATTAATAGATTAGAAAATAGTGAAATTTTTCATCTAAGGTATTTACCTAAATTCCCACAAGGCATGATGTGGCACAAGGCCAGTTTTTAACATGGGACATTCTGAGCCTGTAGGTTTGGGCAAAAATTGGCCATAGACCCCGTATACATAAGGTCGAGTTTGTTTACCTCCCCAGATGAGACTCTACCCTTTGGTATAGCCTTGTTTGGGTTCCTCTCCACCCAGAGACAGAGAGGTTGACAAGAGAGGTCGACATGAGAGATCGACAAGAGAGGAAGAACCTATTTTCATCTAATATGCGATTTGTTGGCTGGTAGAAAATGGATAAACTTATTTTTTATTATGTTTTCTATTGTTGCTTAAAATTTGAATAATATCTTTTTAAAAAATAATTATTAAAGAAATTTCACTTAGACATTCTTGTTTTGTATACTTGGAAACAGTTTTCTCCTTGAAGTTGCACTTCAAGCTGTAAAACCAGAAGAAATGTGTAAGCAAAAATGGAAGATAAAGAAAACCTTTGCAGGATAAATTTAAAAAGAAAAATTCAAAAAAAAGAAATATGTATAAGGATTACACCCACCTTGTCTAGTAAGATGTTTACTAGGTGGTACTGTTCATGACTATAATAGGACAGAACAATAAACCCACTTCAGTATTTTTGCTCTAGAATGCAGTGAAAAATAAGACTTTTCCGTGAAAGTGGAGATTTCTATTTCTGGCCATTCATCCATGCATTGAATATTGCTATCATATCAGGTCTGGTGTTTATGCCATGTATTTAAAGATTCTTGATAAAATTCAAAGAAAAATCTGCAATGTTATCAGCTTTTATCTGGCATCTTGACTTCAGGTACTTACCTATTGCTGTAATGTAACTTCCCCATTCCTTTTCTGTAAATATTTTCATGGTAATTGTTCTGATGAGTTTTCCTTGTTGGTACCTAGACTTTATGAATTTAAGTACAATACTATATTGGTGGCAAGTGCTAATCATTTTACAGTTGAAATAGATAGATGTAACCATAAGTTCTATACTAACAGTTTCTTCTCTTGCACTTCTCACTTGTGGAACACTTTTTCGGCTTCTTGTTTTCCAGTTAACTTTCATTTTCAAAACTTTAAATGCAATGTCAATCATTTTCTCTCTTCTTAATTCCTGTTCTTTTATTGTCCTCTCTCATTATTAAAGAGACAATATAAAAAGAAAACATTATTACATTTTCTTCTCATATTCTCTCACACTCAGTAATCCTTGTGTCTTAGTGACTTTCTTGCATTGCTTGTAGTAAAATGATTAAAAAAAGCTTTTGTAGGAAAGAAATTTATAAACAAAATCATTGACAGAAAAACATGTGTAAATGAGGACTTTTGTGATTCATTATACATTTATGGGAAAAGGAATATACAAACAAAACCAAAAAACTTCATGTTGGAAATATGCAAACAAATTCTTTTTGCAGAGGGGTATTGTAAATAAAAGCTAGGGAGTGCTGTGGTCAGTGAATGGTTAATAAAAGCCACTGACCTTATGCAAAAACATAACGGCTCGGGTTGCTACTTTAAATGTAAGGAGAGAAATCTGTGTGGAATGAATGCTAAAAATATCCCCTTACCAAATTTATAGACAAATCCTTGTTTCTAACAAATAAAAATGGTCTACTTCTTGGTCTCATGTGCCATATTTTTGTTCTTTCTTGTTTTGAAGTCAGACTGCTACAATCACTTGACTGTATCCCTTTTGCATGTGAACACCATTCTTAATTTATGAACTTTTTGCCTTATTACTCTTGATTTGCTTAGTTTTGACTTGCATATATTTTGTTTGCTTAATATTATTTTGCCCAGTTTTTTTTTCTGTTAATTCCATCTCTTGATCATTTTGGCAATTACTCTTAA